ATAGTCTCTAAATTATGATAGTCGCATTATATCTCATTTTTGAAGATTTTTAAATTTTCAAAAAGTCTAATTTAATAATAATCTTCAAATTATTATTATTATTATTATTATTTTTTTTTTTTAATTTGGTGTCATCGGCGTCGACTACTACGGCCATTAGCCTCGTGTTCTGTGTAGGCTTTGTTACTGTTTCCCAGCGCCACTTTAGGAACAGCACTGTTAATTAGAACCCAACAGTGAATGGTCGAGTATTTTTATTTATTTGTACGAGGATATATCAGTATATAACGAGACTGGTGCTATAACTTCTTTCAGAGGTAACATTTTATAACCCAAAAAATGAGACATGAAAGCCTTATATTTAATGTACTACCCTGCAAGTAGGCTTTGATTTAACTTTTGACAAATTAATTATTGAATTGTCAGTGTTTTGCGTACCCATCGAAAAATGAAAGTGGAGCAAAGATACGCGATAAAATTTTGTGTTCGATTGGGTAAAACACCAACTGAAACTTTTGAAATGATTAAAGGTGCATATCTAGATAATAGTTTGTCACGATGTAGAGTATTTAAGTGGCATAAAAAGTTTAAAGACGGTTGTGAATCAGTTGAAGATGAACCTCGTCCCGGTCGACCACAAACTGCGAGAAATGACACAAAAATTGCAGAAATTAACGACTTGATACAAAATGATCGCCGGATTGGCATAAAACGAATTTCTGACAATGTTAATTTGTCTTACGGTACCACTCAACAAATTATTCATGAAGATTTAGAGTACCGGAAGATCGCGGCAAGATGGATTCCAAAAGTGATGACCGATGAAGAAAAAGCGAATCGAGTGACAATTTGTCAGCAGTGGAAAAGGCAATTGCAACGTAACCCACAGTTTTTAAATAATGTGGTTACATGTGACGAAAGTTGTTTTTATCATTACGGTCCTGAATTGAAGTCTCAAAGTATGCAATGGAAGCATAAAGGCAGCCCAAGACCGCAGAAGGCCAAAACTGCTAAAAGCGCTGGTAAAGTGATGCACCTGATTTTTTTTGATAAATTTGGCGTTATTTACGATCACATTGTACCTAGAGGACATACAGTAACAGGGGAGTACTATTGTAATGTACTTCGAGGACCCTTAAAGGCAAAATTAAAGAAAAAAAGGCCGCTTTATCAGGACTTTGGCTGGACGCTGCATCACGACAATGCTCCGGCTCATAGATCAATGATTTGTCAACGAACAATTGAAGAATTAGGGGTTGAAATTATGGTTTATCCCCCCTACTCTCCTGACCTTGCTCCATGTGACTTCCATTTGTTTCCTGAAGTCAAAAAAGAATTGAGAGGTAGAAGAGTTGAGTCGGATTTAGAGCTCAACAACGCTGTGATGGGTATACTAAACAGACTATCAAAAAATGGTTCCTCAGAAGTTTATGATAAGTGGATAAAGGGATGGAATAAGTGTATTCAACAGAATGGAGAGTACTTCGAAGGATAGTTGTTGAATTTTTTTAAATAAATGTTTCCTTGTTATACTATAGCACCAGTCTCGTTATTTTCTGATTCATCCTCATATGTATATATACGGGCACGTCCATTTAGGTTACAATAAATTGTAAAAATTATTGTAAATTACAATAATAGGTTTTGACGAATATGCCTAAATCTATTTACAGATGAACCAAATATTATAAGATTATTCAGAAAGTTTGACAATCTAATTATCCGAGGAATACCAGTCTATAGAAAGGAATGCAAGTCTAAAATATTGTTTGTGATTGCCTGGTTAACACTAGTAGGAACAAAAATATTTATTTTCGATAGGATTTCAGGACAATCATATCTTCCATTAATAATATTAAAAAGTAACATCAAGCCTATGTTTTCTTCTGGCTTCTAGAGAAGGCATTTTTAAAAACTGCTCCATTGTTGCATAATAATAATATAATTTAAGACTATGTACCCAAGAAAATTTTTCTGAACATGATCACTTTTTAATTTGTAGGTTACATAATGTAGTGACTATACAGAAATACAATAAACAAGGTGACTCCTAATGAAAGTACAATAAAGCAGTTACATCTGTGATCTGTAAAGTCATGGGTCATCCTGTTAATAAATCTTAAAATTTTCATAAATTTACCTATAACTGAAGAAATGTGATGCCAAAAATAAAGCCAAGTTCTTTCATTTGTTTAACACTATCCAAAAGTTGACCATTGATTGTATAGACTGTTGAGAACGATGGAACTGAATAATGTTACATTTTCTCTCATTTAACACATGCCGTTCTACTTACACCCATCGGATTATTTATTAATATACTGTAAAGGATAACTTCTTTACAGTCAAAAATATACCTTCGAATATAATAAATAAAACGCATCTTTTTGTTGACAAATTTAATGAATAAGGTAGTATCAATTTTTAAAAGGTTTACTAACATTAACATTGCTATAGTCAGTCAAAAATATATCAGCTGTTTACTAAAATCAAAGATAAAATGATAGTTTTGTACAATCTTAGCAAATTCAAACATTTGGTCCTTCTTTACTTGTGTTGGAGTGAATAGTAAATGTCGCTTGCACGTGCAGGAAAAGAAACAACGACACAGGCAATTCGATAATACATCCTTTCCTGCACATGCAAATGTTACTTTCTATTCACTTGAACATAAGCAATTACCTTATATGGGTTGATAAGGGTGTTATATAGGCCAGACTTCCCAATGGTTGGGACAACGGATGGCCTAACTTAAAAGTGATTGCCAATTAGGAAAAACAGATGTGCCCACTGTATAACACTACAATATTGTTAGAACTGCAAACTTAAGAGAATAATTTAAAATACCTTCACTTCACACCAGAAGGAATATGATAATGTTTTTTATATAAAATTATTAACTATACAAGTATTAGAAATTAAAAATTTAAAAAAACCAACTTCAAAAACGTGCACCACATCTTAACCAAATTTATATGGGACCACACCTGAAGTAGCCCCTTTCTAACAAAAAAAGAATTATTGAAATCGGACAAGGTGGTAAAGCATTATCGCTAAATATACTTGAAAAAAAATCTCGACGATTTGAGAACCTCTTCCTTTTTTAAAGTCGGTTAAAAATTAACTCACCTGAGCTACTATACTTAATACCATTTAATGTACCTCCAAGGAGAATGAGACATCCATGTATGCTTAATATTCCTTTAGTTGTTACCACTGGCAGGTCACCTCTTGTGACCATGCTCCATTGGCAAATAATATTAACACTTGTATTGATGTAGATTGGACACTACCATTTAATATGTTCCGAAAACTTGTATTTAATTATTACATTACGCTTGATTAATTATTACTTTACTGAATAAGTTGTAATATTAGTTGTAATTACCTACTGTTTATTTTTTTTTTTTTTTTTTTTTTTTTTTTTTTTTTTTTTTAATTTGGTGTCATCGGCGTCGACTACTACGGCCATTAGCCTCGTGTTCTGTGTAGGCTTTGTTACTGGTTATTATTAATATTTTTATTATTTATGTATTATGATACTTTTATCCATGTAATAAGGCCGTAGGCCTGTTTGGATACAAATAAATAACACTATTGTAAGAGCAAATCGATCACATTGAAAAATTAAGTCTTTCCGAGCATTTATTTTTGGTCCGATTTTAGGAAATACCAATAATACCAAAATTTGGTGTAGAGAAACCTTAATTTTTTTGTAAACCTTATTTTGACAATTTTTAAAAGGAATTAAAAAAAAACATTACTTCCCATTCTGTATTAATTCTATGATATCACTGGAAGGAACATGCTTATCTATACAGATAGCGGACAAGCACTACTCACCCTGGACTGACCAAAAATTTACTCAGGGTTAGTACTAGAATGTCATGAAGCTTTGGCGGAAGTATCCATCAACATTGTGGTCAACTTAAGATGGATCAAAGATCACATCGAAAGGTAACCATCTTGCTGATTCACTAGCCAAAAAAGCAGCCAACTAAATACCTTCTGGCCCTTCTGTTGGGCTGACAACATCGGTAGTGACAAACTTAATTAAAGAATATTCCCTTGTGAAAAATCAAGGAAAGATTGAATAAATGAAGAAGGTATAGACTTGACAGGGAACTTTTAAGTTATCCTGACAACACTGGAGCAAACAAATTCTGACTGACTGGTCATTGTCAAGTAAGGAAGCAACTCCATATCATGGGGCTGTCAGAATCATCCGCACTTTGCAGGGAGTGCGAACAAGAAAACGCTCTCATTTATTAGATTTGTGTTCGGCGAGAATTGGCTAACACCGGCCCGTGCCTACCTACTTAGGAAGATACCTAGTGAGACCTAAGTGCCGTGGGTTAGCCCACCCTCCACGTTACAGATACAGCTCTGTAGGGGTTCCAAACAGTCTCACACAAGTTTTGAGTGTACTTGCATGGAACTGAGTTCTTTTAACGTCGCTTGAATGGTTTTTCCATTTACCTGTCGCATGTTTACCTAAGCTCAGTAAGATTTTTGTCTTTGGCTGGACAACAAGGTCTTTTTATCAAGTTTAATACAAATAAATTTAGAACATTGAGAAGTTTTGCTTATATAACACTGTACACTACATATTTCATTTGATGTTTCTCTTCAAAGAATTATTTGAATTTTGATAGTAAATAGACACGCTTTATAAAAAGAAGGTATGATATTACGCAGATTGATACTACGTCTCGTAACGTATTGTGGTGCGAAGGTGTTGGCTTTTACGAATTTGAGGTATCAGCTGATCGAAAACAGCGCACAAAAATAAATTTGAATAAGTTCATTGTCATATTCCGCACCATATTCCGGCTAAGTATCATACCTCCAGAGATGTTTTGTATCATAGACTTTCTGGTTTAACGGGTGATGGCGGCGACATTCCTTATTAGCACCAATCTAATGCTGCATATTTTATTTTAAAATGAAAAACTGCGCTGTAATTACTAATCGCATTATTTTTATTGTTTTTTATTTAGCTGTTCCTTTGAGCTCACTTCACCCCAAGAATGTTCTTATGTACTACGCTAACGACTGTAATTCGAAACTTTTAATATCCGCACCAGAGTATGCAGAATTAATGAACGGCGTGTCTGTCAATACAAGCAGTACTTTGCACGTTCTTGATGACAAATTAAATCTAAATTGTGCACAGAAGACATTTGCCTCGCAAAGTGATTTAGAAGGAGCGTTACCTTTGAGTTTTTATGATGGGAGTAATGCTCTTATTTTGTATACCAGTGGAACCACAGGAGCTCCTAAAGGTGAGATAGAATGGGGTTGTATTTTGAAATGAAACGTCAGTCAACCGTTATTTATCTTATGTTATCTTGCATTGTAGTAGTCTAAGATCCCACCATGTGATTACTGAATTCATCTGTTTTTTTTTAATACAATTTTGATAGATACGGTTTTGCTGGGTTGGCCACAAGTACTTTTAATTAAAATATAATTTATTTTTTTTTTTCTAAAAATTTCTTTCATTTGTTTTGAAGATAAAATATAATTCATATCAAAGAGAGTTATGTAAAGAATTTAAAAAGTTTGGGTTGCCGTTTCTTACTGTCAACCATGTCTAAACATATACAATTTCGGTAAATTTTTCCATTCATACGTATCCTAATAAATTTTATATCAAATTAAAGCTTATTTTTATCTCTACATGATGGAAAGAGGTTTTAAAAGTGCCCGCAAAAAAAAAACGATTTCTGCACTTTTCCTCAATTTCTCCATACGGCCCATTTTAGAGAAATCAAGTATATAACAAAAATTATAGAGAATAATATCATGAACAACTCTTTTTGAAAGAATTTTCTCTTTAATTAAATCAATAAATTATTTTTATAAAGTACCTAATATAATTTTAGGTGTTGTGATATCTCACAAAAATCTTCAATCACAAATAACCACTCTTGTCGACGCGTGGAAATGGTCTCCAAATGATGTCCTTCTTCACACTCTTCCTCTTCACCATGTCCACGGTATTGTTAACGCACTTTTGTGTCCATTGTATATCGGAGCAAAGACGATCATGTTAAAAAAATTTAACGCAAATACTGTATGGTCTTTCTTGTTGGGAATCACTGCTCAACCAGATGATAGGAAGACAAATGTTTACATGGGAGTTCCAACTATATATTACAAACTTGTCGATGAATATCATAAGGTGTTTAAAGATGATCCAAAGATGGTTGAACACATTAAAAATACCCTAAAGAATAAAGTAAGATTGATGATTAGCGGGTCAGCTCCTATGCCGATGACGCTACATGAAAAGTGGTTAGAGATATCTGGACATTCGTTGTTACATAGGTAATATTCAAATGTTTTGTCAATTGTTTAATTAATACGTTTAAAACAATGTTATATGTATTAGGTATGGAATGACAGAATGTGGAATGGTGTTATCTCACCAATACGATTCTGAAAGAATACCAGGAACTGTGGGTGTGCCCCTACCAGGTGTATCAATAAGAATTAATGAAGAGACCGAAAAAAATGAAAATCCAAAAATAATTTTGGAATGTACCAACTTGGATGGAGAAGTAATATTTAACAAGAAAAATTCCAGTGAAGAACATCTTAAAGGTAATAAAGGTGATAAAAATTAAATATATATGAAATAAGCAAAATAGACCAAGTTGAAAATTATTTTTGAGTTTCTAAAACAGCCGCTAGGTGTAAGATCCATGACCAGTTATGGATATATTCATTTTATGATAACAATATTATATTCAAATAAACGACTATAAATATTTTATAAAGTGGCTGTTAGATTAGATTTAAAAGGAGTTTTGTCGTTGCTCACCGCAACCTTTTAAGATCTAATGCATGTTAGAAACGTCAATCTAGTCAGGCCTTCACATTGGCACAGGACGTGGATTTATGTAGCAACTCTACAGAAGGGTTCGGCCTTTTCATATCTTTTGTGGCCTGGTACCAAGGCTAAGGTCAATTTGTTTTGACTACTTAGTTCTGTCAGGTCTTTTAGGCAGTCTTTCTTCAGTTGTGATTTAATTTTTGATGAAAGAATTACGTTTAGAACTGCTTTGCTCTTTATAATTTATCTTGCACAATGTTGTATGCCTGTTAATTTAGCCTGGAACAATGTTGCGTATTCACCTAGATTGAACAAAATCGTTGTTTTCGACTTGAGTCCAAAGATTCCAGCACCAGCTTCTTCCTTGGTTTTTGAACCATCTGCATACCAGACGAGTAAAGTCTGGTTCCAGGATTTTCGGGCTGGTATTTGAATTTGAAAATTCCTTTCAAATTTGTGGTTGTATTAAAACATACAATTAAAATATGGAGAATGGATTTAACCTCTTTTCTCGCTAAAAATTTACGTTCTAGTAAGGAGATTTAAAATTGAAGTTTCTGAGTTTGCACAGAGTATTTGTCAGATATATCAATTGCCATTCGTGAAGGTAAACAACCATAAAAAAAATTATTAATGAAACGTTTAATATATGCCGCGTTTGAATATCCACATCCGAAGCATTTACATTTTTTACATCTCGATTTGAAATGAGATGTGAATGAGATGTTCGTTCCATGCCAGAAAATAAGTGTTCTGTGAGGCCAAGTTTATCGATTTATCCTTTGTTTATGCTAGCTTGAATATGAAAGTGTTTAGGGTGTTTAATTTTTGTTTAAATTTCAAATTTAGGTTGATTTATAGTCAAAAGTCAAATTTGTAAAATATAAACTTCTAACTTGTCATATTTTATCACGTGACCAATAAAGTCTAGAGCGTTTGTTTATTACATCTACATTCAGATCTAATTCTCTATCACGTGATAAAAAGTCCATAACATCTCAGATGCATCCGATGTGGATATTCAAACGTGGCAATATTATGCAATTGTGTATTTAACATTCGTCTTCAATGAACAAATATTTGCAAACAACGTATTTGTGAATATTTGTCAGCTTTGTGGAAACTTGAAAATAGTTTCCATCAAAATAACTAGGAGAAGAAAACATTGTTTTCCAAAAAATGAAAACTAGTGATCACGTTGGCAAACTCTTGTTTAATCTCACCAGCTCCGAAAAAATGCTATGTTTTTCTTCGATTTTTACGTTTGTGATATATGTCAGTTCATATTTATGATTTCTCAGAATGTCACTTATCCTTCTCGTTTTCGCTATGGCCAAAAACTTTCTTACCTTATTTTCGGCAGTTATGTAGTTTATTTGATTATTAAACTGGCTGAAGGACCTAGGTCGATGACCATTTGGTTGTAATATTCATAACCAGTAAAGTGCTTTTATTATTTGATTATTAAAATATTGTTTTAAACAACTTAAAATTTAATCGAGAGCATCATGGATGAAGCTGCCAGGACTAAAAAGAATTGAATAGAGTTCGTTTTTAGTTTAATATACTCATTTATTCACAAATGTTGGGTAGATGAAACATAAAAAATACAAGTTTTTACCAAAATATATATTTTTGTAGACCCCGCATTTACGTTTAGAGTTCAATGTAGCTGTAATGGAGGAAGAACAAAGTAAACACAAATAAATTACGAATAGTTTTATTAAAACACATCTTTTTGTACAGCCGAAAATTTATTAACATATTTATGTAGGTTTTCCAATGGGTTATTTCTAACAGCAGAAATTGTAGTCCCCTTAAGGGTAAAATAAAAGATTACGATAGTTCTATATATTTGATATCTCCCTAGTTAATATTTACACATTTCTACTGTAATTCGCATTGTCTGATATAAGTGAGTACAAAGGCAGAACGAAGAGTTTAGAAAGGTATAGAATATAAATGTGTAAATGTAAAGTATAGATTACTCAGTACTGTCTAGATAACTTGGACGACAACAAAACATCTGATATAAAGGGGGACATCTGTCGGACCCAGTTTTGGGGTTTCTCCAATAGAGATCCATCCTATCGGGCTTTGATTTCTATAGACGTGTGGAAAATACCATGTTTATGCCCTTTATTGAGGTTCCTCACTACTATGGTGGCTTGCGATCTTTTCGGTAACCTAATGCTCTTTTTTGGCGCTTTGCTCTTTTACTCTGCCAACCGACAAATCATTACTATTAAAACAGTCTCGAGGTTACAGGACGTAGTTCCCAAAACAAGTTTACTCCTTATTTTCTAAAAGAACAACAGTTATACCGATTACCTCTGCACATATGCCAGTAAATCTGACTCATTTATAAATAAATGTACATTAAAAGAAAAAAATCGTTAAATTAACTGTAACTTATCTACGGTCAGGGCTGTAGGTTCGGTTATAACGTCTCTAAAGTTCCAGATTGTTCCGGTGTTACACTGGAATTTAGATATGGATATTAGCAAATCTGTAACTGTTAAGTACATTTACGGATTTGTTACTACCCATCTCTAAATTCACTTGATATAACCGAACTTCGATTTTAGTTCAAGGACGACTTACCCAAGTCCGACTCAGCTGAGTTTTGTTTATAAATACGGACCGAATATGATCGATAACATTGTGATTTAAAGGACAGTTTCTTTTATTTTCCTGTCAAATCAACTTTACTCATATACGATAGGATAAATAATTTCCAGCCTGACCTATACGATTTTAATCATTTGTTTGTTTTGTTCAGTGTTATATGTTATTACTTTTTCTGTATTTGACAGCCCGCTACAGTAATGAAGTTCTAAATTTTTTGAATAATGTAGAAACTTGAAGCTGTCATAAAATATTTAAAAGAAAAGGGTAGGAAAGAAAAAGGTACTTCGTATCTCTTAATATGTATTCCTACTGCGTCCAGTTTTGAAGTTTAGAACTTCAACTTCTGGCATGTCATATTCTATGATTCACTAGGGGATAAAAGCAGAAGTGGCACTAGTAGTATAAAAGCGAAAATAATTTCACATTAAGTGTTTGAGTCACACGGAAATTGAAGCTGAGCTAGATTCTGCTTTAGGCGAGTCTGTCAAATCATTTTCAACGCCAAAACATGGGTTGCAGATTTTACAAGCACTAACGATGCAGAGGGTTCAGGTAGTGTTTGTTGCTATTTAAGAGCAATTAAAAATACTTTTTGTGCAGATTTATAACTATGGACGAGACTTGGGTTTACCATTACATACCGAAATTAAGGTATGTAGTGTGGGTATGAATATAAGATCATCTTCGAAAGAAAGCCGTAACTTGATAAGGAAGTTAAATAAGAACAAACTCATTCCTCAACACAGTTATATATAGATGATCTAGCAGTTAGATTTTCTATAAATTGTAAAATAAAATGGCATATTGGCTCATGAAAGAATGACAGATCTGGTGTTTCATTCAGTTTTATCGATTTTGAATTTTTATAAAGATATTTAAACACCTGTGTTATTTTATTTATGTAAAAAAGTTATAACGTGATATGCAAGCTTATTTTGCAAATAATTTTTTCTAATCAAACTATTTTTGACCCATTCTTCACCCATATATCTGACTACCATATACCCTCGACCCAACTATAACGTTGTGCCCTAATTCAAATTTCGGATGCCCTACCTAAAAATTGATTCTGGCTACGGCCCTGTCTACGGTTAAACATAAACCAGATTTTATCCAATATTGGTTTCGGCAGAGATAAAAAAAAATTATTGATTGAAATCTTATAGCAAAAATAAAAAATAATGATTAATAATTAAGAATAACACGTAGTACGTCGCTATTATCTGCGTTTCCAAGAAAAATTGCAACAGCTGATCTAAAGGAAGTTAGTGCGTAGATGTACATTACGAATTGTTCCGCAATTTATCTTGCAATTGCGAACTGTAAAGTGGGATATTATGAAATTCCAAGTGATGCAGCACTTTTTATCAAGGATGTTTATTCATATAATTAGACAAACTTTATTCCCATTTGTATGGCTTTCTTCGGAAGTTGTTTTAAGATTTCTCCTGTAATTAAATCAAAGCCCGGAGGTTTCTTAGGATTAATATTTGTTTCTATATCTTCTGCAATTTCCTTTAGAGAGGTTGGTCTAATAATTGAGTCATCTCTTTCTAGAGGAGCCCAGTTCGGTAATTCTTCTCCTTCATTTGGTTGGAAGGTATTTTCTAAGTGCTCTGCAAATCTATTAACTTTTTGTATATTATTTCTAGCCCAGCTACCATCTGTATTCCTGATTGGAGCATTATGTACAGTGGACCTTTTTAATCGCTTTGTGGCTTTCTATAGAGAATAATCAGTGGATTTATCGTTTGTCAACTCACTAAGGTACTCACAAATAGATTCATTTTTAATTCGTTTTATCTCTCTTTTTAACTGCTAGGTGGTGTTGTTAAGTTTGATGGAGCTCTGGTCTGATGCCATTTCCTCCTTAGTTTTCTTTTTGCAGAGATTAGGTCCCTTATTTCTTTAGGATAGTTATTTTCTGTTGTTCGCGCTGCACAATAGGTGGCATATTAACCCATGCTGCTTGTTTGATGTTGGACACAAGTAGTTCTACTTCTTCATCTAGCTGTGCTTTTGTTCTTAACGGAATTGAAAGATTGGTTTCATTTTCAAGGTCCAATCTGAAGCTTTGCCAGTCTGTTTTCCTATTTATTAGTCTAGGAGCGCTTTCTTTTGAATAATAGTGTCACTAAGAGTGAGAAGAATGGGCGAATGATCTGAATTCATGTCCCATGCCTCATCAACTTGGATGTAGTTTGCTGAAATATTTCATACAACAAAAAAGTCTATTAGGTCGGGTATTTTGTTTCTATCTGTAGGCCAATAAGTTGGTTTGCCAGGTGAATGCGACTCACAATTTAACTGTGTCATTGCTTCTTTTAGGTTTTTACCCTTAGTTGTTGTTAGTCTGGAGTCCCAATGGGTGTGTTTTGCATTAAAGTCGCCTATAAACATAAATCTAGGTTCTTGACTATTGAGGAAATTTAGGTACTGTTCTTTTTTAACGGTATGTCTTGGAGGACAATATACAGAAGTGACTATAACATCAGAAGTTTTAGATTTTATCATTACTGAAGTAGCCTGAAATTCTTCAGTATCTGATTCCATATATTATCTCAACACTTTCGTCGTGTTGGAATGTAAGCATGAACCTATTCAATGGTTTAGTTCTATATTTTAGTTTTGGAGTAGCAGAAATAATGTTAAAGCCACGACATTTCAAATCACTAATTATATTTTCTGGTTCACAAGAATTACTTTAATTGGTATATTCTGTTTGTCCTCATACGAGTACCAAGTGTACTCTTGTTCTGATAATGCTCCAGAAAGCATTCTATATTCTGGTCCTTCCAGAACGTTAATTTTAACATTATCGTTGGTTACTTTAATTTGGGAGTTTGGGATTTGTCTCACCATACTGTGGAGTTTATTAAAGTTTTGGACGTTATCCACTATGATAGGTGGTGGTGCCTTGATTTTTACAGGTTTTTCTATTGTAGTGCTGTTATTTTGTTGTTGTGGCTGTGGTTGCGGAGGTGTTAATGAAGTATCCATTTTTTTTTCTGTTTTTCACGCGGGTCCACTCAGTCTCTTTTGCCAGATCTTCTTCATCAGTAAAGTATTCAGTGGGCTTAGTTGCATTATTTATATTGCTAGCCATACTTTTTTCTATTCCTGTATATTTTTTGAATAATTCATCATTTGTTTTCATGATTTTATCTATCTGGATTTGGAGCCATTGCACCTTATCAGCAAGATTATTCCTCTCCAGTTCCGTTTGTTCTGTGGTTCATTCTGTGACCATGCGGCACTATTTTCTTGGGAAACTTCCATTTTATTTCTATCACTATCAATTGCTTTTAAAAATATTTTTTTATTATTTTACATACCTACTAATGTTTATATTTTGGTTTCGTCATGTTACATTAGACACTGTACACCTTAACATGATACGAACTTGACCCACTTTGATCGTCACGAATATTTAAAATACATCCGACTCGTATGTTTAAATATTTTCTGAAAAACAATATTCTGTTGTATTATTTTTTTCAATTACGAACCTGTTGGTACCTACTGCACAAAATCACAAAACATTAATTTTATTCCCCTTGTAGGCCCTTTTTTTAACTCAAATCTATATTCTTCTTATTTCAGGTGAATAATGTATGTTTGACATCATTTTAAATATATTGAGCTGTAGATATATTTGAACAATTTATTTCTGTTATTAACTATATAGTACTTTAGTCAATAATGAATTAGTAACCTCTAAGAAAGAAATTCATCTTCTTGGCTTAAAAACAAAGTAAATAATTATCTCTTCTACTGCTAGTAGTAAAAAATAAAGTAACCCTATCTTATGATGAATTCAAATGTTATGTGTTGTTATAGGTGAACTTTTGGTAAAAGGAGAGGGTGTTTTTAAAGAATATTACAATAGACCAGATGCTACCCACAAAGAATTTACCGACGATGGATGGTTCAAAACTGGTGACATTTGTGAGTATTCAAAAGAAATGAAACAATTCAAAATACTCGGCAGAAAAAGTGTAGATATAATAAAGTCCGGAGGTTATAAACTCAGCGCTTTAGAAATTGAGACGAAGCTTCTGTTACATCCAGATATTAAGGAGTGTGCAGTATTAGGTGTAAATGATGAAAAATGGGGTCAAAGAGTCGCCGTCATTATGGTTACACAATCAGAAAAAGAATTGACTGTGGATGAAATCAGAGAATGGGCAAAAGATAAAATGCCAAATTATTGGGTTCCGAGTGTTCTTAAAATTGTTAAAGAAATACCAAAAAATGCAATGGGTAAAGTTAATAAAAAAGAACTAGTTAAAGCGATGGTATGAAGGAATTTGATTTAAAGTACTTATTATGAACATTAATTTTAAGAATTATTTCATGTAAGTATAAAAAATGTATTATGAGTCTATTTACTGCTTTGTGCTTTCTACATGCATTAATATATATTAATAAATAATGGAAAAAAAAATCAAGAACTGAAATCACAATATATAAGAATGTATTTTAACCTAGTAATTTATAATGCTGTCATGCCATAATCAAAATTTTGAGACTGAATTTTCAAAGATATACATTTGCACAAAACATTAAATAACTCGCCATTATATCAGTATACTTTAAGATTATAGAACATATTTTAGAAATTTAATCATAGCATTTTTATTGCATTGTCTTGTTTGAGGTTTTAAAACTTAGGCTAATTAAAGAGCTCAAGTTAGGTTTTATGTTACTAAAGACTGTCCACTTTTTTTAAAAAAAAATTGGGTTTTGTAAAAGTATTATAAATTGTTAATTTTTCGTATTTAATAAAAGTTTTGTTGATCTTCTTTACTTTTTAATTCCAATTATAAATATTTGATTATGTCTCTATTTAAAGTAATAGGAAAATGGTTAAAATATATGCACTAGTTAGACATCTGTATCTGTAAGGTGGGTTACTCCACATCACTTATGCCTCACTATGTTCGTTGTGCATCCTCCAGGGACATATAATTCGCTTCTCATAAACTTGTCAAAAACATGCTGGTTGTCGCTGAGAGGTGTCTAGAGGCTGCCAGCACATTAAAGGCATGTAAAAAACCTGGTGGTTAGACATTTATGCAACAAATGAACTAAATGTGAATTAAGTGCCACATATTTGTAGTCTGAAATTTATGGCAGATGCTAGAAATATATGGAATCCCCAGAGATAACAGGAGATGTAACTACAAATATCGTGAATGAGACATATTCTAAGGAACACAGGAGGGTGTAAATATCCGCCGTTGTCATGCCTATTTTATTATTCGCGTTTTGTTTACAAAATTATTTACAAATCTTAAAAAATCTAAAATATATCACCCTATTTTAATGCAACTGCATCCAAAAAAATTTGAATCATTAATTATATAAAATTTAACTAAATTAGATGTAATTTGACTAAGTTAGATTTTCATTTTCAATGAATTCCAAAACCTAATCAATATTGGATATATGTTCCCCTAAGTTGGAATCATATGGAAAACTTTTTTATTATTAATTTTAGGAAAAAAAGTTGTTCTTTATAAAAAGTCGAGTATGGTCTAAAACCTAAAATACAACTATCAAATATCAAATTTTATCAGTCGTATAAAGAATAAAGGTACTTTACTCTTGAGTAAAACTCATATTTTTTGACAAACCTCGTATACCACTGAAAAAATTTGATATTTAATGACTGTATTCTAGGTTTTAGATCATGCAGAACTTTTTATGAAGAATAACTTTTTTTTTTCTAAAATTAATAAAAAAGTTTTCCATATGATTCCAACTTAGGGGGATACACTGTATATCAAGTATTTTGTATTAGATGTGGCAACATGGTTTGCATTTTGTACGTTGTTTATTATCAGCGTACAACAACTTACACATATATTCATTTATAAAAGTGTTTTGTACGGCCGTCAAATCCTTCAGTTTATCGCTTCCCATACCGCACACCACATTGTAACAACCAGTTGTCTAAAGAACGACAGGGTATCACCAAATGTAACAATCAGCTAAAGGACTACTGCTTGTCACCAAATGTATCAATCGACTAGTCTAAAGACCCCATTGTATTAAGGGATTAAGGCAGAACTGTCACCAGCAAAGAGTATTGGAGTCCGGAAGGAACATCCATTCATCACTGGCAAATAAAATAAAAAAAAAAAACAGAATAATCCCTTAATAGCATAGTCGAGCGGTTCTTGGCAACTGGTTATAGTATATTCTAGTCCTTAGGGTTTGAAACGCCGAGGCTTCACAAATGCTCGGAATATAAGTATTAAAACAGTAACATATTATGTATATTTAAAATAATTACAAAATAAATAATCCATTTATATTTAAGAAACAAATATTAAAATAAATGAATATTAATAAATATAAATTAAATATTAGATAAAACTTGAGACAGAAATTGAAAAATGCCAATTATTACATGTCTGTTCACTCCTGATCTACAACTGGACTGTATCGATGTCGGCGTCACGAATATTATATTTTATCAATGAATCTCTCACAAATTCGTTAGACTAATAAAAATAAAATCTTATAAGCGTGATTTATATCTGCCAATTTCTTTATGAATAAATTCAAGAATTTCTTCACGACGAAAATTATTTATAAAATTAGTTATAGCTGTTTCTTTATCGTGAAGTTAGCCCAACACAATATTTTCGCGAACAAATATTGCACTCATATGCCCCATCAATAAAACTTTTTGCACCCCCTCCCTTCAGTAGTTACAGGAATTGATTTACCATGAAATTAGCCCCAATATTTTCTACTAAAAATATTGCACTGGTATGCACTCATATGCACCACCATAGTACTTAGTTACAGCAATTTTTTACTGTGATGTTTTCGCAAAAAGATATTCCACCGATATGCAATGCACTGCCAATAAAACTATGTGCACCCCCCTTTAGTAGTTACAGCCATTTGAATTTTGATTTATTTAAAAAACAAAAAAATTCAAAATTATAGTTTAAATAAGTTTTTGGAGAGGTGTAAAATTTAGAAGGAATGAAGGTGTTACTTACCCTTGCCTACGCCACTGGCAAAGTTTATTTAACTTATTTTGTTGTCGATAGGTGTATCTTATGACCCTGAGTGTGAATATCTCGAAAACCAATCACTTTATGAGTTCCCAACAAGAGTACATAATTTATTTAAACAATGTAAAAGTGTAATTCAAATAAGTTTTGAGCAGTGCAGTAAAATTTAGAGGGAATGAGTGGTCGTACGCCACTGGAAAAGTTTATTTAACTAATTTTGTTGCTGATTGGTGTATCTTATAGTACAGGATCCGTAAGTAAGGTCGTCCTAAATCCAGCTGATTAATGGATAAAAGTTTTCTTTTTATTAAATATATCGCAAATGGGTTGCCTAAGAAAATACGGTCACCGCCATGTTTTACTTTCTGTAAACAGATAAGGAAAGTATAGGAATCATGTTAAAAGTTGCTTGTGATGCCATTCTCTATAATTTTGTTCTCTGATTTTGTTCCTATACCGGATTTCCCTAAAATGGACCTAGTTCGATTTATTTGAGGAAAACTGCAAATTTCGAATTTTGAAGATAACTCAAAAACGGATGAAGACAAAAACACCAATTTTATACTTAAGCTTTAATCCATCCTGCGATGAGCCGATTACAGTCAACGCATCTGAGGAATACTTTACAGGGTGTCGTTTCTTTACTTTAAGAAAATACATAGTCATGACCGTATTTTCTTAGGCAACCCATTTGTATTTTGTATATTTACAAACATATTTTAGTTAATAATAAGAAACTTTCATCCGTTAAACAGATGGGTGAAGATCGACCTTACTTCGGATCTTAGACCATTACATCAAAATGTTTACCGAATTAAATAAAATTATACTGAGAAATAAAAAATTAGTGATTAATAATTTTTGAATTTTCAACTTTAACATGTTAAGCGCCCCAGTAGAATCTAAAAATCCGGTCCACTAGGCCAAACCATTAATATTGGCAAATAGAACTATCGGCAGTGAGACAAAGCATGTGTGTCACGAAGCCCAAACGCTCAACGTGTTTCACACTGTATTTCGGAAACCAGTAATATTTTATCTAAGCAGGTTTCTTTTAATCAGAGAATTTTTAGTTGTTCCATGTCCCATTATATTATTAACGAGACCCAGTATAATATTAATAGGTGGTCAATTTTGAGTTTTTTTTTTGACTAAAAAATATACGTCACTTCCAAGTTTCTTTTAAAATTCTTTATATTTATAAGAAAAACCTGGTGAATGAGGAATAGCTAGTAGCAGTTTCTGGATGTTCACAACATATATCCATATGTCACATAATAGGAGCAACTGTTTCTCGCCAGACAACAACTAATACCGCAACGCATAGAAAATAATTTTCAACTGTAACTTTGATTTTGCGTACTAAGAAAGTCATTCTTGGAACTTATTACGACTCATCCGTAAGGAATACACGTTCTCGATTCCAATATTTAATGGAATCTGGATATAATTCCATCTTAAATGTGATCAAAACATAAAATGATGTTCTACTCTGCTGTTTTTATTTGGATATAATCTAAAGCCGAAGGGTAACGTTTTTTCTTATTATTTTGTGATACTTGGCTTTAATATTTTCTTCTTTTTCTTTGTAATATATAAATTTGGCATTTAGCTTTTTAATTATTTCTTTTAAAATAAAGCTTTATATAAGCCTATTATAAATAATAATAATAAATCTTTATTTGTCCTTTTAGATCATAGTACATGATATAGGATAAGTCAGGTATATAAATAAAACTATAACTAAAACTAAAATAAATCAGGTATAAACAACATAGCATTATTGAGGTATTTTAATTTTGTTTTAAAAATATAGGGTATGGTTGTTTTAATCGAGGATAGAAGATGATTAAAAAGAGTAAGTCCAGAGTAGTGTGGGCTGAGTTCCAATAGAGCTGATGAATGTTTTGAAATACGAATTTCTTCATTGTTTCGAGTGGGGTAATTATGATTATCTTGATTTTTAGAAAATGATGAATAATTTTTTTTAACATACAGAATGGTTTTAAAAATGTATATGGCTGGGAATGTGAGAATATTTTTTAAAATGATCCATCCCTACATGTAGTTCTTGTTTCTAAATTGAAAATTAGTCTAATAATTCTTTGTTGATTAATAAAAACTCTTAAAGCATTTGTACAGTTTCCCCACAGGATAACGTTATAAGAGAGATAAGAATAAACAAGAGCATAGTATACCTGAAGAAGTTGATTAGTATTGAAAATATTTTTTAGCTGTAGGATTGCGCTGTTTAACTTTTTACAGATAAAATTGACATTTGAATCCCAATTCATATTGCTCAATCATAACTCCTAGGAACTTAGTTATATGAGAGAAATTGATTTTCTTGACTTGCAATGAATGTTGTAACATATATAATAGTTCCTCCACGAATCTTAACAGTCCTATAAAAATAGTCACCAATTATGTAGCCCAAAATTAATAGAAGAACCTGCATCTTCTGAACACCAGCATTCAGATACACAGAATATGTCTGGCTTATCACGGTTTAGGATTATTCTTTAGTTAATTCAGCTATATGTTCCCATTGTTCTACTAGTTTTAAGTTGAATGCTTGTTCGGCATCGGAAACTACGTCAGTGAAATCATCGGTTTGACTTTTAGGACGTTTAATATAGGCGTCCTTTGACAGCCACCAAGTTTTACAACTTCCATTTTCCTTTCTAAGCAACTTGGATGAAAGATACTTTGGCAGACAATGCAACAAAAGTTCCCAAATTCTTTATTTTTACAGCACTTAAAGTTCCTCTCCATAGTAATAAAAATTATAATTAATACGCACCGGAAAAATAATTGGTCCCAAAGTTATAATTATTAATCCAAAAAAATTGGGTCTGAAGTTGGCTCAGTAGCCACTGCCAATACTCAAAACATTAGAAATTATTTATTTTGCTAAGTCCAACAAAAACAGAAAAAACGGTTCTGATAAGCTTCCAATGACCACTTTTTTGATATGGATGAATATTATTTTTATATAGTTAGATTACACCTACTACTACTAGATGGCGATATTATCTCAAAATTGACGAAATGGCATTTATGTTATGCATAACGAGGTCCAAATATTTTTCAGAAAAATTTGAATGTAAGTAACTATGAAAACAAGCTCTTTGCGAATACGGAGGATAATAAATTATCTCATTAAAATTTGTAACAATAATCAATCAAAGAACATTTCGTAAAATATTTTATTAAAGACATACGTTTAAACGTGAAATATGTCTAGTATAAATTAATACTGAAACACTTAAAGCAAATAAAAAAATATGTACAAAAAAGTATATGGCTAGTATAAAAATTAAAAAAGGAAACTAAATTTTAAAACACTTAAAAATGTACAATACATTACATAAACACTTTTACTTCTGTTTGCGGAAGATACTGAGTTTTCTGAGCGTCCTTGGAGTAATACTTTGATTCTGAAAACAAACGACATTTTATGAAAATAGTAAAATTGCTTCGCTCAACGAAAACATTCTTTTAATAGTTTAAAGTTTTTGTTAATTCTACTATTAATGCTGAGTTTGAATATCCATATCGGATGCACCTGAGATGTTGTGAATTTTTTATCACGATAGAAGATTAGATTTAAATGTAGATGTAATAAACAAACACTCTATACTTTATTGGTCACGTGATAAAATGACCAGGAGTCTATATTTTTTAAATTTGACTTTAGAGACTAGAAATCAACCTAAATCACTTTTATATTCACGCTAGTCACATACTTTGATTTTCTTTTACTATACGGAGAATGGTCGCACTGCGCAGCTTTCTGAGTGCCGACAATTCCGGAAACAGAAGCGGATGATTAAAACGCACCTGATATTTTGCTTGCTGCTGTCAGTGTCAGTGAACATTATTTTTGGAGTCACAGTTTATTGCTAAAGAATCAGTTAGCTCACTCGGACCAGTTGAAAGTTTCAAAATAACATCCACTCTAGGGATACAAATTCAGGATACGCAGAAGACTGCTGTTTTATTATAGGTGGTTGTCATATATTGTATTATCTGAGTTGCGTAGTGTATAAACTGGAACATTGAGATAAAAAGTGCCGACGCAGAGTGAGCGATCCGATTCTTGAGCTATAAACTGTGTCATAGGGTTCAAAATGGCCGCGCCCTATGTTGGGCGTGTCGGACCTCTCTCTTGCCCCGTATAGTAATCAAAGTATGTGACGCTAGTATAAACAAAGGATAAATCGATAAGCGTGGCTTCACAGAACACCTACTTTCTGGCATGGAACGAACATATCATTCACATCACAATTCAAAAAGAGATGTAAAAAATGTAGTATGGACAGCTACATCTCGGATAAACAAACGCAAATGTAGATGTAGTATATGTGTCCGATGTGAATAAACAAACGCTCGAGATGTAAAAAATGCATTGGATGTGGATATTCAAACGCAGCATAAGTATAATTCTAAATACTTTAGCGATGATTCTTTAAAGCGTTGGTCATATTTTTTTGAAATACTTTGTATAATCCACGTTTTCTGAAAATTCCCACACAGGATTGATTTTCAAATTAGAACCAAAAATGCACCAAAGAAGATTTAGATACAATGGTGCTAACGATGCAACCAATTTTTTGTAATCGACTTACAAAAATATCATAATAAATTCATTTCTACAAGAATCAATTGACAATTTTAGATCAAAAATATATATATTGGTAATCATTGTAAGGTACCAATTAAGACATATCGTTAGTTGGCAAGAACAATGGCGCAATTAAAAATAACCGATTTTACACTATGACGTTTTAAAATTTATAAATGTTTTATTGCTTATTTCAAAATTTAGTTAATTTAATTGTAGGTTACTTTAAATTATAATAAACAATAGCATTTATTAAAACATAAAAATATATATATATATAAAAAAAAATAAAAATAATCATCATAAACAGGGCTCCTTCAGATATCGGTCATTTCTTGAGAATTTGAATTATGAAAAAGTAACTTATATCATTATCTAAATTTAAAATAATTGGGCCTCACAACAGATAAAATACATGTAATATTGTTATTTTATAATCTACTAACGTTCCTAAATCGAAAAACTAGACTATACTTCTAAGCTTAAGGCTTCGAAATATGTAAATATTCTCGATTTATTGTGGTATAACGCAAAAAGCGTCTATGTTCACGTAAATCGAGCCTAGCTTCACTTTGACGCGATGGTGCAACTGAAATGAGCCCTTATTCGTGGTACACATTAGAATTGTTTGTCTCAAATAAATAATGACGTGGACCAGAATTTGGCGTTGTGTAATTTTTCATTATAAAATATTAGTGATTTCTGTTCGTTCTGTATACTAATTTCGATTTTGAAAATATTTGAATTACATCGGTATTCTCGTAAACCAGCGATATGTGAATTAAAATTTAAGAACATAGATAAGTGCATTAATTGAACTATCCACTATACAAAATTATGTATTAAAAGTGATTCTAAAGAAAGACGGAACATACTCAACTATGTAGATGTCTATATAGTTCTGAAATTATTAATGTCGGGTCACTGTATTTTCATTTTCTGGGCTTATTTACCTGAAAAAGAAAAAGGATACAGCAAAATATATTGTGCATGAAATTACGACTAGAAGTGTCAAATAAGTTGTTATGGACTGCACGAATTAACTTTAATTGCAGTAAACGATTTGCTACGTTTTTAGGACCCAAATGTTTTAATCTGTTGAGTAACCGCATAAAAAATATTAAAAATTATAAAACTTTCTCAAAATTAAGTAAAATCTTCAGACATGATAACAGTGGCGTAGCCAGACATAGTTCATGAGGGGGATATTTTTTAGAACTAGGGGGGTTGCATCAACAAAGTGAAATATTTCAGATAAGATTGTTTTTATTAAAAAAGTAAATAAAAATAAATGATTTTTTTATAAAACGATAACAAAGTGAATAAAAACAAACAATAAATAGGGATCAGCGCCAATATGATGGCGGAAACGGTGATGCGAAGGTCCCCAAAACCCCCCGTGGCTACACCACTGCATGAGAACTACCTTGTTTTCATGAACCTATTTATAAATCTTTAATTGCAGCAAATTTTCATCATCTTTGTTTTCATATTTTCATTTATTAAGTTATTAAATAACATTTATTGTATAATGCACAAAATAATTGTTCACTCACTTAATGTGCATTACCTATTTCTTACGAAGTTTTTTTTTTGTATTTCTTAATATAGTAGCTTTTTCTTAATGTGTTTCAATGAAATTTTATACTTTTTATTTACAAACAAACCTTTAGAATCTTGTAAACAATGCGGATTAACCTAAGAAACAATTTAATATTACTAACCTTTATAGGTATAATAATGTAATAATATTGAACTTGTACTAACTACTTAAATAAATAAAATCTTTGGCCGGCTCGCTCACAGGATTTACCCCCAATGATTTTTTTCTTTATGTGTGAGGATATAAACCCAGATTATGCTTTGAAGATAGTTACAAAAAACTACGAATATTACGAGACAGACACCATATAGAAAAGTGCACATTTGTCTTGTCTTGTCTTATTTTTGAGTTCCAAAATTCAACTTAATGTCTGAAAGGCAAATAAGGAGAAGAATTTGCAGACTAAATAAAACAGTCCATTAAATGTTGAAGAAAAAACATCTATCCATTTTAAAAGAGAAATTAAAAATAAAACTAGATGTGTTTGTATTTAATTTCATATTTTTGAAACTCCTTTGTATATTAAATTTTTTCTAAATCTTCTTGGTGTATTTTTGTTATAATACAAGCACCAACTTTTAATAAACTTATTTATTAATTAATCTAAGGACCGATCTTTTCACCTCTGAGTAAAGTTATGTTTACTTGACAGATTAATAAACAATAGCCCTATAGTTTAATCAACAAGTAGTTACTTTCAACTTTACTCAGAGGTGAAAATACTGGCACTAAGTGGTGTACACTAAAATTACAAAAGTAACAATCACCTCAAAAATTAATATGGAAGTAAATTCCTCATCCTCTAATCAGACTTAATAACGTGGTAATATCTAACAGCGACTAAAGAAAGCAGCACCAATACACTCAAATTCCTAGTGCAATCCCAAATAGCATTAAAAACATAAGCCTTGAAGCAGCATACTTTTTGCTCTGAATTATTAAAACAATCTTCAAATATGGCTGCTTCATGACGTGTACTAGTGTTAGTGGAAGCGTGACATTGATTTTGAAGCAGGTAACTACAGCACTCAACAATCTGAGAGAAAATCATTTTTGTTTATTAACAATCGACATTTTAAATTTTGGAAAATGTATTAGTCTCATTAAAATTCTGGTAATTATTTAAGGGGGTATTGGAGCATATAATAATAAGCTCTCTATCTTCTTAGATATATGCTATTTCCTAGAGTATTTTAATTTTCCGCATTACTGTTTTAAATACAACTCCTATACAGCGAAATCAACTAAATCATGCACTTTAAATGGAATGAGTCCAAAATTCAATATGGAAATTATGAAGCAGGTCTAGTTGGGAGAGTTATTTTTTTATAGGTAAATAGAAGAAACAAAAACATGTTTTTTATAACCATTTAAAGACATTTTTAATTAATAATTAAGACGAATATACACTATGCAAAACAAGCTTGTTTCGTTTTAATTGAGGATAAATCCTATTTAAAAACGCGATGTTTAAACAGTGTGTCTACTTAAATTGGAGTATTGGAGGGAGACATAATTACTGTACATGGTGTCAATTTAAAAACTTCCCATTGGCAATATCTTCTAATAAGGGGAGACACATTTATATATTTTCAAATGTCATGTGTCATTTACCTCTCCTCCGTAACACTAACCAATACAATTTAAATAAGGAAAGTATAACACTTCATTGAAAAGACAATTATATAGGCAATTCAGCAATATGACTGTTCATTGATTTTAGCGCACCCTAGCTGGAAAAATTGTTACGTATTGTAAAGTGTGACACTTCATTTGAAAGCTAATTTTATTGGTAAATTAATGTATAACACAAAAGAATCTAATTTAATAAAACATAAAAGCATAAGAACGTTGCCATTAATGTTAGGATTAAATAAATTAAACTTTAATCTTAATCAATCTAAATATTAAATTTATGCTATGCATTAAATTACTAATGAAATAAGCTTTCAAATGAAGTGCCACTCTTTACAATACGTAAGTTTTTTTATCCCGCTAGAGGGCGCTAAAATCAAAATTGACGCAATGAACAGTCATATTGCTGAATTTTTCATAAAATTATCTTTTCAATGATATGTTATACTTTGTACTTTCCCCATTTAAATTTCGTTAGTGTGACGGAGGGGGATGGGAATGCCATATGACATTTAAAGAATATAGATATTCGGAAGTTGGCACCCTGTATGAAACAAACCAATTGCTTCAAATTTAAATAACGTAAGTGAAAAAGTGTACCAATATCAATGTGAGTAAGAAAAATCTGTGTGTATTACATATTTTCAACAATTTTCTCAACTACCTTTGAAAAATCACAAAATATGATTTTTTTAAGATAGATGATTGCATATTTAAATGTAGTTTTTTATTCAAACAACCAAATTGATATTTCGTATATAACTGACGGATTTTTATGTCATGAAGGGGTCTATTCTGTAACGTTTTAGTTAATTTTAACCCTCAGGTGACGTTTAAATATTAACCCAACTCTTCTCAATATTCCATCAATTTAATTTCGCGGTATTAGTTATTTTATAGGCAATCGCAGTTAAAAATGACATGGCAACGACTGAAAGTGAATTGAAATTAAAAGCCCAACGCAGCTTTAAAAATAATAAAATGAATATATTTCACATATAATCATTACTGACATAAGTTATAAATTATAAACAAATAATACAGAATAAAAAAAAATATTTTTATAACCCAGGGTTAATTTTAACCAAATTTTTACAGAATATACCCCGATTTCAGGTGGGTTTTAAACCATGCAGATATGTTTATAAAGAATAACTTTTTTCTTAAAACTAATAGTTTTCCATATGGCTCTAACTTAAGTATGCATACTGTATGTATCAATGGGTTAAATTTGGATCAAATTTCATCCTAAAAGTTTGACTAGTAAATGGTTCAAACTAGGATATGGGAAAATTACGTATATCAGAGTTTACTTTTCTTTTTTTAAATGAGTTTTGATTAACTCACGATGACCCATATAGTGTTATCTAAATTTACTCTAAGTTAAATGTATAAGAAAATGAAAGATTTTGTATTTAAAGTGTGTATAGGAGAAATTGAACGTTACGATTTTCACAATTTTTGAAATAGAAATAACTTCGCGTTTTGACATACCCTATATACAACATTGCAAATGAATGAAGTCAATTAAAATTGTTTGACGATGTGAAAACAATCAAATATGTATAACTACCTGTAGGGTGTTTTGCTTTAAAAAAGTATAGCTTTGGTCAGCACCTCGTGTGTGGAATACCCTGTATATTTAAAAATAATTGTTAAATATGGTCATACAACTTTTATATTATTTTTTTTTTGTATTTCCAATAATAAAACAGCTATTGACCAATTACGCACTGATGGGATACCCTGTATATGTATTATTGGCTAACATGTTGGTTTTGTTCGATAGGTAAATAATATACAGGGTGTTGCATTTGAAAAAATTGATTAAATTGAATTTAAAATTAGGCATATTTGACATGTTTTAAAACACTCTGTATAAAATAAACCAGTTTTATCACTCCTATTCGTTAGCTTAGTATCTTATAAGCCGGTATATTAAACAACTTTGAAATAAATGTAAATCTACCTAAATGATTCTAATTTAATTTGGGGTCTGCACGATTCTCTAATTTCATAAAAAAATTAATTGCTTGGCAAACCTGTAATGTTTTTTTTTTAATCTAGGATTGAATGTAGTATTACCAATTAATTCTAAAAATGAAATAAAATATAAATTTTTATTTGCTAGGCTAAAATGCAACATCCTGTATATCCAAACATATTTTTAATATATGATAAATAACGGTTATTCATCAGGTAGGAAGGTATCATGAGCCATATATTATAATGCGATTTTAAAACTTTGAACTTGTTTTTCTCGAATTATCTTTTTGTGACATGACACCTTTATCCACTTGTGTCTTCAATTGAAATATTGAACAATTACGCACTAATTGGACACCCTGTATATTTGTGTATACCAATAATTATATTGATTACTTCTAAAATTATTATTTTTTTAAAACAGAATAAATATAAAATCAAACCAAGTACCTAACCTTAAAAGGCTTTTAAATTAGACCCTTTTTGAATCATAACTATTTAATGGATATACTCCAATAATCAGTTACAATCACTACAATGAGTCAGGTAAGCTAATTATGTTCATAGAAATGACGTCGTTTTAGTAGACCATTGTAAGATTATCGTTAATTACTTGGCAATGTTGCCACATCAAACTAGGAACGTAACGTTTTAAAATTTAAAACCCATGATTTAAAAAATATGTTTCTTGCAATCTGATATCAATAAAAAAAATCCCCATTAAACACCTCTATATTATGTAAATATCTATTAATTTCTGAAATAAACAAAAATGAAAATTCCCCATTGTGCAGGTTTTGTTAATGATAAAAGCACACTAAAAAATAATTACCTCTGAGTTTTCTCTGATATTAGTTTTTCCCATAAAAAGTGATTTAATTCTACTTGGGGTCATTTTTTTGGGACTTCTCTCGTTTTGTTCCCTTAGAGGTTGAATTTCATTGCTCTGCAACGATGCCCTTCCTCCATTTTTGCTCGGAGTTGGTGGGCCAGGTTTTTTGTACGACGTCGTACCAAAATCTTTTTTCTGTCTGGGCTTTTCTCCTGGAAGTAGCTTACACAAGCTGTCATCTAAATCTATATTACCCACCTGAAAAATGTTTTATTTGTCAGAAAACAAAATCATATGTCTTATTTCAATTAATGAAAAGTAAAATGACCTTCAAATCATCTTCTTTGAATTTAGACGGGCTAACGAACTGGGTTTCGGCGGGATATGATGATTGTAGATGTGGCGGTAGCATTGAATTTCTCCAAGCCAATTCTGAAAACCTGGTAGATTCTTTTCCATTACCAATAACGCACTTTCCTGCCTTCAAATCGGCCAAATATTTATTATTGAAATCGTCGTCTTCATCTTCCATTTCTAAATTCGGTACGTTATTTAAAGAAGTTCTTCGAGAAATCGTAATTGTTTCTTGAATTTCTGTGATGTTTGAACGAGGCAATGTTGCCAGCCTTCTATCACGACCACTAACAATGCTCTCACGGTAAGTGTGGCTTGGTAATGTAGAAACACTTTTACCTGTAAAAGATATTGAAATAAATTTTTCCGTTATCTCACTTTACCATGCATAATTTGTGTCTAATTAGATTGTCGAATGGACTTAATACATTTGAAGATTGCACAATTTCCTACATGGAACTGAAAAACTTGTAAGAAGAATGATTTTTAGCCAAGAAGAAATTAATGATCCATAGTTTTGCCTTCCTCTGTAAATCTAAAGCAAAATTCAATCGATTTTAAACTCATTAAAATCAAAGGTGATTCGATTTTAAATTCCCTATATTTAAATGTCGTTTTGACAAGTTATGATATTTCTCATTTTCTCAAAAAGAGTGTCTGAAAATGCTTTTAAATACATTTAATGAAGAGTCTATTACAAACTGAAGTAAGTTTTATGTGAAAATAATTTTTAATATTTTATTTTTTAGTAAGCAATATAATATTAAAGATAAAGATGTCTTAGAATATTTAATCAAGAAAGAATATATCAGCGAGTTGAATGAAATTAATCAATTTTGGAACAATTAGCAAAAAACGAATGCCAGTCTTAAATCAATTAATCAAGAAAGAAGTTATCAGTGAGTTGAATGAGATTTAATCATATATTATGTCGGAAGAATTTTTAGTAAAACAGATCTATGTTATGTACAAATAATAAAAAAATAAATACCAGTTTTCCTCTATTAATGGGTTATATTTTTTCTAAATCTTTTTTTTTATAATTGTTGCAAAGTAAAAAGTTTTTAAATTAAAAGTGTTTTTACACCCCAACTCCAAATATTTACCAAATATTAAAAATATGAAATATTCTTGCTTATCTGCTTTTATTTACTGTAGTATAAACCAATATTTAGGCAATTCTGCTGGATTTTTAATTTTTTGGGGGCTTGTATACCATTGTATTTTTATATATAAATACTGAGATATTTTAGAATTAAAAAATGTAAATTTAAATTTATTACATTACCATCATAAGAATATTTAACAATACATAAATATAATAGAAAGTATATCTTTATTTTATCAATTTATATAAAATATACATATACAAATTATTAAAAATGTCAATATAATAAAATAGATACCTTTCTTAACCAATTGCATTGATTCTTTTCTGGTTTTCATATCATTATCTCTGCCAAAAGATCGTAATGAAGTTAGACTTCCTCTGACAGATTCACTTTGCTCGTGTCGGCTTCTTAAGGATGTTAATGATTGTTTAGATTGCTGGATACTTCTTTGTGATTTAGATTCATTGATTTTTTGCATTTCTAGCTTAGTTTCTAACAAATGTGCCTTACGTTCAGTTTCAGAAAGGTCACTCCTTAAATCTTCTATCGTTTTTAAATAACACATCTGAAATATAAAAGGTAATAATTTATTAACAATTTATGATACAGAAATAATTAGAAAGGGACCAAAAAGTTAAAAACCGATCGTCATAATATAGATTGATATTTATTATTTTAAAAATATACAATAACAGCTATTAAAAAATTCCAGAGAGCAAAACTTTTAGTCAATCATATTTCTGGACATTCTTTAGCTAGATATTTTATTTTCTACTGTACCATGATTTATAATAATATAATAAAGGAGTTTTTTTTAGAAGCTACTAAGAGAAAGGAGGATATGATTATTTTGAGGATTTTTTTAGGGGCTCCGCGAAAAAAGAAAAGAGTGGGACCTGGTTAGAACAAGGAGGATTTTGCTCGGACCTTTTTTTTTAAATGTGTTTAGGGTTCCGTCAAATATTTCGCTTTTCAAAAAGGTTCCGTCAAATATTTCGCTTTTCAAAAAGGTTCCGTCAAAAAAAAAGTTTGAGAACCACTGGTCTAAAGAAAGGAGTACAGTAATTTAATTTGCAGAACGTAGTACAGGTTCAAGAGGTAGACATTTTATTTATACCTCATCCTTCAATGCTTATTTGTAGTTAAAATGAAAATTTTAATACATCTGATCGGCCTAATAAAAATTTTCGTTTTGATTTAAGCATGTTTATTTATTTATTTATTTGGGACACAAACAGGACAAATCCAGAACAGTGTCCACTAAAAATATACAAAGAATGATTAATTCATAAAAAAAAAAGTTTAACATTAAAACTATGCTACAAATTAAATGTAAGGTACTTAGATATCTATAACAAGCAATACAAGTGAGCAATAGACCTTTTCATCATGTGATGAGCGCAAGCGCAGCCACCATGTTGAAATAGCGGTAATTCAAAAGTTTCGTACTGTTTCGATCGACAATGGCTGGGAAAGCAATATTATCTCTACAGAAAAATTAATCATTAGAAAAAATCGTTAATGGTGATTTACTTTTTTAAAACTCTATGGAAGCGCATAGTTGTGAGCAGTTGAAAAGGTGGTTGAAGTGTCTTGGACGTTTGCTACAAACGAAAAAAGTGGACTGATTGAGAGGTTAGGTGTATCAATATTTCTTAACTGTGTAAAAAATTAATGAAAACAAATAATAATAATTATAACTATTCTAATTAATTATGCCAACCAACTATTATTACTTGCAAAAACACTTTAATTAACATGAAAGTTAATCACGAGTATAATTTATAAAATAAATTATTTAATATTTTGAGGATCAACATGACATTTTTAATCATATTACTATATACGAGGTACGTCCAGAAAGTAAGTTCCGTTTCAATGTATCTCCGCTCCAGCGCTGCGATCGCAGTTGCGCACATCCGCGGTAGACGCTCTGTATCCTGGAGAAGAAACGTGTGCCATTTGTAGGTCGCTGTCAGTAACGTACGCTTTGTTGTGCTTGTTTATAATGTCGGTGTTGATTTAAAATCCCGCCGCTTGTGAAATCAGATCTGTGATTCGTTTTCTGAATGCGAGGAAAGTGAAACCAATTGAAATTTATCGGCAAATTTGCGATGTTTACGGACAAAATGCGATGAGTGATTCAATGGTGAGAAGATGGGTCCGACAGTTCAATGAAGGACGTAGTGACGTGTACGATGAAGAACGAAGTGGGCGTCCATCTTTGGTTACAGAAGAACTGGTTCACGCGATTGATGAAAAGATCCAGGAAAACCGCAGGTTTACAATTAGTGCTCTCGCTATGGAATGTCCCCAAATCTCACGATCACTAATTCATGAAATTGTTACTGAAAAACTGAAATTTCGTAATCTTTGCTCACGTTGGGTACCAAAGATTCTTACTGAGCAACACAAAACAAAACGGATGGGTAGTGCACTTCAGTTTTTGACCCGTTATGATGAAGGTGGCGAAGAATTTCTGACACAGATAGTCACAGGAGATGAAACTTGGGTTTCTTACGACACCCCTGAAAGTAAGCAGCAATCAATGGAATGGAGGCACACTTCATCCCCAGCAAAGGTTAAGCCGAAGCAAATCTTGACACCTCGAAAAATGATGTGCACAGTGTTCTGGGACTGGAAAGGCATCTTACTCATTGATTTCTTACCGCGTGGTCAAACAATCACAGCAGATGCTTATTGCGAGACACTTGGGAAATTGCGCCGCGCAATACAGAATAAGCGCCGAGGATTGCTGTCAAAAGGTGTTGTTTTTCTTCACGACAACGCACGACCACACACTGCAAATGTGACGAAAACCCTCCTACAGGGATTTGGCTGGGACGTGTTTGGCCATCCTCCGTACAGCCCAGACCTCGCTCCTAGCGACTTTCATCTGTTCTTACATCTCAAGTCTTTCCTTGGCGGTCAACACTTCAACAATGACGACGAGCTGAAAGAAACTGTTTCCAACTGGTTGAAGACACAGGCGGAAAACTTCTATGAAGAAGGTATACAAAAACTTGTGCCACGCTATGACAAATGCCTGCAAAATTTCGGCAGTTATGTGGAAAAGTAGTTTAAGAGTTGTAGAATTTTGTGCAATAAATAATTTTTCTGTATCTGTACACAATTTAATTTTATTACCAAACGGAACTTACTTTGTGGACGTGCCTCGTATACTGAAGTAGTATTTAATATTAAATAAATATTGTTTAATACCAGATAAGAATGTTTTTCTGTTGGACCACTTTCTCCATGAAAATGCAGTGAACAAATATAACTATACAGCAATCCTATTTATGTCATTGTACTATTAGCTTTGCTAAATAAACGAGATATATATATATATATATACTATCTTTAGTAACATCATTAATCCATCGAAAACCGTTGTCACTTCGACCACATTCTTTTACACCTAATGCACATTTTGATTTTGAACATGTTTTAATATGGATTTTGCCAGATAATTTTTTACGATATTGCAGCCAAGGCTTTGGAAAATTTATAAAATAATATGTATTGCCTTTGAATGAATATACCGTGTGTCACTTTTACATAACAACACCGTTTCGTTGTTCCTTGTTCGTTGTTCCAGATAACATAATTATTATAATTGAAAATGTATTTTTCAATTAAGACACTAAACTTATTATTACTTTACTTTTTCTTCCTTTTTTAAATGAATATAAGTACTTAAATTATTATTTATCGATTATAATTTTTTTCACTTGGGCATTTTAACATGTTTACAAAACAGTACAAAAAAGATGGCAGATACTGAGGCATGCGCACAAAAAAAATTTGTGATGAAAAGGTCTATTACTATAAGTTTTAAAATACAAATTAAATTTAGATTCCAAAAAAAAAGGATGTCACAAATGTAAAAAGTGAGCCTTAAGAGCATCTTTAACCTTAATAAAATTGCGGAGAAAAATGTCGAAGTAAACAGTATTCGACAATTTATTGTGTTAGTAGCCCTATGAAGGGGCGAATTTAAATAGTAATTTGTTGATGCCTGATTTACGAAGAAAGTATAATAATTTCTCGTATTATAATTAGGAGTGACAATTCGAATACGATTCATTATTTCAATACAATCAATTCTGTTATTTACGATCTTGTGGATGAACATGACATCTGCTATTTCCCTACTTTGCTCAAGACTAATGATTTTCAAATTAAAATGGATATTTTGTCTTTCTGATATATGAGGATAAAATTTTCTTTAGCAATAAGAAATAAACTTATTTTGTATGGATTCTAATTTATCAATATAAATCAAGTAGCGGGGATTCCAAATGACAGAGCCATATATGAGAATACTGTTGACATAGGCCATGTACAAGTTTCTGAGAGTTATATGGGTTTTTTAGTTCAAAACAGTAACAGTAACAAGGATTTTATTTACATAGTTAAAATATCTACAGATTCAGAATATGAAATAGTATAATCAACACTACCGGGATCTTCTCCTTTCGTGCTGGTCTAGAGTCCGACCGGACTTGTCCACCTATATCTACCCCTATTCTGATAAAAAATGATCAAATATTGCAGCCCTCACTCCTTACCATGCGATATTATTGAGGGATTAGGATTGTTTTGGAATCGGTAATGGGAATTTGTAAAAGGATATGTCGCGTTTGAGTTATGGTTTTTGTCCCCTGAAAAAGCTAGAAAAAACAGGGTTGTCCTAGTTCAAAACAAGATCTAAAGATAAAACCTAATTGTCTGTGTGCCTTATTAGCTACATTAAAAAAAGTAGAGTAAACAAATGGTAACCCACAAAGGTATGACCTGTCCGTAGGTGATTCCATTTTTGCTCGACTCCAATTTTTAATGTATTAAAATTAAAATAAAAATATACAAAATATCAATAATATTCAACACACAAACATATATAAATAATGTAGTATAAATTATGTAAACACTAAGGCTTAATTAAATTATGAATCACTTTTCTGTCACATTTTAATACAAAAGTTTTAGCTTTCTTTTTAAAAATACTTTTTGATTTACAACTTCGAATATCGAGAGGAAGGAAATTATATAGCCTTTTTGAAATATAATTATAACCTCTTTGACCAATGGTTTTTGAAGCTGATACTGTTTTTAATAACTTATTTGTTTTTTGTCTAGTCTCATAGTTATGTTGAATATGACTGTTTGTTTCTATTTCAATAGAGGTAACTATTTTATAAAAATAAATCTGTCTAATATCAAGGTTATTTGATTCTTGATAGGGATAGAGAAATGGTTTATTTAATATTATTTTTAGGAATCTCTTTTGTAATACTTCTAGTTTCTTTAAGTGATAATCCGCCAAACCTCCCCATCCCACAATTCCGTATGATATACGCGATTCTACTAAAGCAGAGTATAGTATTTTTAATTGACTTTGATCTAATATATTTTTAAATATTTAAATCTGTATAGTAAGCTACGTAAAGTTGAAGTAACCCTATAAACATGTAAATTCCATCTAAGGTACCTATCCACAGTTATTCTTAAATATTTTATGTTTTCCTTTGCATAGATTTGTATGTCTCTATTATTATTTTTTATTTGTAAGGTGTCATTATATATATGCTTATCAAAAATTAATTTTGAATCCAGAATAATACCTAGATCTTTAACATTATCTACACGGTGAAGGATACAATTAGAGATAGTATAGATATTGTTCAATATATTATTACCGCGAGAAAATTGTATGTAACTACATTTAGATGTATTTAAAAATAAGTTATTTTGCCGACAATAATTTGACAATCTATCCAAATCATGTTGGAGTAAAACTCTGTCATTGGGACATGATATTGAGTAAAATATTTTTAAATCTTCAGCATACATGATAAATTTAGCAAAATTGAAAACACGTAGAAATATCGTTGATGTATAGATTAAAGAGTAGGGGTCCCAAGTGAGACCCCTGGGGTACTCCAGAAGTGGTAAAAACGGGATTGGACTTGAAATTGCATAATGTTACTTGTTGTAATCTATTTCTAACATAAGAGTCGAGCCATCTTAGTAGACTACCGTGGACCACGATGCCAGCAAGTTTCGAAGTAAGAACTGAATGATCAATTTTATAAAATGACTTGCTGAAGTCGGTGTAAACCGAGTCCACAATAATTCTGTCATTTAGGCTTTTCAAAAGGTATTCAATGTAAAGGAATAGATTTGTATCAATCGAACGTTTATTAATAAAGCCATGCTGTTAATATTTTTCACATCATAGAAAAGGAAATCAAAGATAATGCTTTCAAATAGCTTACTAAAAATATCTAATTTAGAGATTGGTCTAAAATTATTAACTTTATTTTTGCTTTCAGATTTATGAATCGGAACAACAAAAGCCATTTTCGATTTATCAGGAAATGTACCTTCCTTCAGTGATTTATTAAATATCAGAAACAGGGGTTCTGTCAAGGAATTTTTACATTGTTTAATAAAACATGTAGGTAATTTATTCGGACCGGGACCTTATTGGGTAGATTGTCATTTTTTTAGCAATGATATCTCGGGTGATATTGTATTGAGCAATACTTATTGTGGCATTCATTTGGGACACCGCTTGGCCTGAAAACAGAAGAGGAATAGTCAGAGAAAGTGTTACAAATTGATTGTAAATCAGTGACAGGCCCCTGAGGAGTTAATAAGTTATTAGGAATAATCTGACAATTTTTTCTGTTTCTTACAAATTGTTAAAAGTATTTAGGATTCTAAACAATATTGTCTTCTACATATATCAGATATTTTTTGTAATCTTCATCTATTAGAAATTTTGATGTGCCGCGTAAAACTTTAAATGTTAAATAGACTAAATCAATATTGTATTTTTTCCATCGAGAGTGAAACTTTAGTCTTTCTTTAATTACTTTTATGGTTGAAATGGAAAACCAATGAGGGTAATTTTTACATTAATTTGGGAATTTAGGGACGTGTGAATCAACAATGTTGTTAAGAATGCTATAGAATAGACTTACCGATTCATTTACATTTAAGGATTTAAACTTTACATTCCAATGAATTGCACACAATAGTCGGTTAATTTCGTTATAATTAGATAAATTAAATTTTTTTACACAATGATTACCGGCTCTTGTATTGATTTTAATTGGTATATCAACATTGGCCTTATTGAACAACTCAAAAACTCTGAAATAAGTGGAGAAATGGCTGATCTGACAACAATGTAAATAATTAACTTTATGGTGGCAAACACTAGGTGTCTGCCACGTAACCGCCACTTTGAAGTGGTGAAAAATATTTTGGATTTGTTCAAGCTGCCACTTATTTGATGAAAGTAACTACAAAGTGGCACATTTTTAGTTTCAGCAACTTTAAAGTTTTTTTTCTGAAGCATATTTGTAACCAATGTAACCATTTTTAAGATCGCCATTATGAGAAAATATAAAGGTGCTATTAATGTTTTTTTTCATCCGTATAGCTTCAATGCAATAAAATTCAAATATATTTAATGATTTTAATTAACCAAGATTGATAAAAAATACTGTTTAAGGCATCTAAATAAATAATTTCGAAGATGAAAAATTTACAGATATTAACTTTTTAATTAAATATAGAGTATTCCAATGGCGCGTGCCCATATTTCAAGCTACAACACATATATTTGACAGTAAACTTCCAATCGTTCCAACTTTTTGTCTATCAGAATTCCTGAATCAATATTTTTATAACACCTTATTATTACTATTATTATTCAGTATGTACCTACTTATTAGTTTACTAGTTATGTCAAGTTAGTGAATGAGCAAGGAGAATGGGAGAAATAATTTGCAGGACGAAGACCGAGCTACAAATATTAATCAAAAGACAAGAGCATTGAGCAAAGTTCAGCATTTAGTGTCGGCCGCCGTGCCGCCACGTGGCGTAAACGTGATTATATGAGTTCCGGGAACGTGGCTGGAACGAAAGTGTTCCCCATTTTGGTTACCGCCACGTGGTAGAACCGTGTCTATTACGTGGCAGAAACTTTGGCAATACACTTTAAAGTTTCTAAAGTCGTGGTAGCCACGTTTCGCCCACGAAAAATGCTACTTGGGGTGTTATAAAGGACGCAGGTGTTATTGCTGTGCCATAAAATCGTAGTGTCATCACCAAACAGAGTGAAAATATCTGCAATGTTAAGTCATTTATACAAAAAAATAACATGAAACCCTGAGGAACTCCACAAATTACATATATCCCACCGTTGGCCGGGATATTTTCATTTAATTTAATTATTTAAAATTAATTCTGATGCCTTGATAGGATTCCCCCACTCGACCATTCACTGTTGGGTACTAATTAACAGTGCTGTTCCTAAAGTGGCGCAGGGAAACAGTAACAAAGCCTACACAGAACACAAGGCTAATAACCATACCAGTTGATGCCGATGACAAAAAAAAAACTTGAGAGTCCTTATAGGTCTTACCATTTAGTTACGTTCTGAAAGATTTTACTCAACTAAGTGCTTCTTCTTTGATTTCATAAACACGAAGTTTTTGCAAAAATACTGTACAATTTACACAATCGAACACTTTAGTAAAATCACAGAATATCGTCGCTATAGCTACGTTAAAATTAATTTTAGAATAAGCCAGTTCAAGATAAGATAAATATCGCATCAGAAGTGTTTTAAGCAATTTGTGACTTTCTAGGTAATTTAAACTGGTTTTTACCTTTTCAATAATTTTGGCTAGTGTAGGAATAAGAGATAAAGGATCGTAATTAGTGTCCCAAATAATTGATTTATTTATGTTATGTATATGTTATGGTTTATTTAACAATCTATATACTTACAGTTTCACTTTGTTCTGCTTTAACTTTCAGCATTTCCTTGTTGACTTCTTCACGATATAATTTTAACTAAAAATAAAACAATCAGTACTTAAACTTTTTCAAGTTTTTTTTTTTTTAAATCCTTACCATTTTATCTTTCATTTTTTCCAGCTTAGCTTCGTACTCATTTCTAACTTCCTTAACTCGTTTACTTTCCCGGAAATCGGCTTCTTCCCGTTCTTTTTTTAAAAGAGTTACAAATTCTTCTCTGTCTCTTGCCCTTTTGAATTTGATAGTGTCTATTTCGGTCAATAAACTATTGTTTTCTTCTACTAATTTCTCATAAGCTTCTTTAATCTGTGAAAGATCGTTTAGTTGTCTGTTTTTATCTTCGATTTTCTTCCGCAAGTTATGGGTTTCCAATTCTAATTTTGAATTAGAAGTAACGACAGATAAATAAGATTCTTGAATCTTTTTACTGTCTTGTTCTAGATGTTTTCTTAAAATTTCGTTTTCCTCTTCTGCATTTTCTATTCTCTTTAATAGATCATTCTTCACATCTACAGCACTTTGACGAGCAAGTAATAGATTACTCTCAGTCTCTTTCATTATTTTAGTTTGGTCTTCTAGGATTTCATTTCTGTCTTTTTTCACTTTTTGGAGTTCTTTTTCACTCAGATCTAAACATTCTAAGAGTTTAACTTTTTCTTGTGAAAGTTCTTCTATTTCATTACTAAGATCTTCTAAAGCTTTTAATAGCTGCATTTTTTCTTCTGAAATGCTATCAATGGTATGCATCATTTCTGTTTTTTCTTGGGATAATCTGTCTACAATATCAAAGATACCCTTATTTTCTTCTGATATCTTATCTAATATTTCTGATTTTTCATCAAGTTGCTTCTTTAATTCCTTAGAAGTTACTTCTAATACATGAACATTGTTTGATTTTTCCTCCAGATCATTTGATACAGTTGTAAATTTACCTAAAAGTTCTGTATTTTCACTTGTCAAATGGTCAACTTTTTGTAAAAGATCTTTGATGTACTCTGAGTTCTCATAATTTTTCTTCATCATATTTTGAATTTTATCAGATAAGTTCGCATTTTCTTGTGAAACTTGATCCAGTTGCTCTGAAAATTTCGCTTTAACTTGAGATATTTTTTCAACTTGATCTAGTAAGTTATAATTTTCTTTTGATAAATTATTTATTTTTAGAGAATAATTTTCTAGTTCTTTGTTAACTTTTTCAAATCTTTCAAAAATATCATTTTTTTCAGCTAATAATTTCTCACTATTTTCTTTGTATGTATTTAAAGTTAGTGATGATTCTGCTATTTCTTTGACATATTTTTCATTTTTCAATTCATACTCACTTAATTTACAGATAACAGTTTCTTTTTCATTTGAAACAATTTCTAGCGTATCAGAAATTTCACTTAACTTAGCAGATAGTTCCTTATTATGTAAGGATACAGTTTCTAACTGATTTTGAGTATTTTTAATAATATGACTCAAATTTTCCTTCTCTTTTGTTATTGATTCCAAATAAGCTGAGATTTCTTCATTTTTCAAGTTGGAGTCTTTCAGATTATTTAAACAAACTTCATATTTTTCCGAAATATTCGTCTTTTCTTCCAAACATGCTTGCAGGTCGTTTTCAGTTTCAAATAAATTATTAGAAACTCTTTTAAAGTCTTCTTTTAATTTATTAACTTCGTCATTATTTCTAGATTGATTCGTTTCCAATTTGGAGGAAAGTGTATTTATCTCTTCCTTCAGATCATTGGATAAATTAGTGGTTGTATCTAAGAGATGTTCAAGATTTTCTTTTTTTGTGTAAATCTGTTTCAATTCAGAATCTATATGGCTAAGATTGTTACGCAATTCTTTGAAAATAATTTCGGGATTTCTTCCATCTGTTGCCGAGTCTTCTGAGGAATTTACTACATTTTTCTCAATCATAGTGAACCGATGAATTTGTTGTACAATTCGTTTTGTTATATTATTGATATCTTCTAAATTAGCTTTAAAACATTTTAGTTCTTCTTCAACATCCGCCATTTCTTTAACTTTCGATTGATAATTTGCAGATATTTTTTCATTATTAAATTCAAGTTCTTCTAGTCTTTTATTTGATTCGTGATACTTTTTTTCCAGTTGATTTTTTTCGTCAATTGATGATGATTTTTCAAAACCTAGGTTATTAATTTCAGTTTCTTTCTCAGAAAGTTTGGTTTTAACTTGATTCAGTTGTTCTAATAGATTACTCTTTTCTTCTAATAATTTATTTACTTCTTGATAACAATCTTCAAGTTTTTTACTGATATTATCCAATTTTTCAGCAGCTAAATTCTTTTCAGATGATACTTTTTCATAATCGTGTTTTAATGTATCTAAATACTGTGTTAAATCAATATTTGTTTTTGCTAGGGAGTCATTCTCTTCAAGTATGCATTCTTTCTCGTTCAGAATCTTTTCAATATCTTTATTGCTTAATGCAAGGGCATCTAAAATTTCATCCTTTTGCTGCATGACTTTTTGTAATTCATTGTTATTTAAATCCAGAAAATTGGATAAAACAGTTTTTTCTTCAGAAATCTTTTGAATAGTATCTGACAGGTATTCTTTTTCTGCAACCAGAGCTTCATATTTTAAAGTTAAATCTTTATTTTCTTTCAAAAATCTTTCATTTTCCATTTGTGATTCACTTAGTTTCATGGTGGTTTCTTGAAGGCTCTTTGACAGATGTTCTTTTTCAGATATAAGGTGTTCTGTACTTGATTTTATTTGAATAATATCTGCTAAATATCTTTCGTTTTCAAACTGACACTCAGTTAATTGGTCAACAATTTTTTCTTTGTCATTTGAAACAGATTCTAATTTAATAGACATTTCTGTTAACTGTGCAGAAAGTTCTTTCTTATTCATTTGAAATATCTCCAATTGATCTTGAGCATCTTTAATAGTTAGAATTAGATGTTCATTTTCTTTAGTTACTGAAAGCAAAGATGATGTAATTTTTTCAATTTTCAAGTTGGATTCATCCAAACTTCTGGAACAAAGTTCATATTGTTCAGAAGTATTTGCTTTTTCTACTGTACAGTTTTGTAATTCTGTTTCCATTAAAGACATCTTTTTTGAAATGTTTTTAAAGTCGTTTTCCATTGTATAAATTTTTTCACACAATTCATTATTTCTGGAATGATTAGATTTAAGGTCAAAAGTAAGTGTATTAATTTTTTCCTTCAAGTCTTTATTTTTAGATTGGCCAGATTCTAATTCTAACACAAGTTTATGTGTCTCTTCCTTCAGATCTTTAGATAAATCATTGGTTGTATCTAAGAGACGTTCAAGATTTTCTTTTTCTGTGTATACATGTTTTAATTCAGAATCTAAATGGTTAAGATTATTTCGTAATTCTTGGAAAATAATTTCTAAATTGCTTCCCTCTGTCGCCATGTCTTCTGAACAAGTTACTTCATTTGTCTCGACAATAGTGAAGATATTAATTTGTTGTATAATGTTTCTTGTTATATTATGGACATCTTTTAAACTGTTTGCGAGTGTTTCATTTTCGACTAATTTGCTTTTTAAATCACTAGTAGTGTTCTCTAAATCAACTTTTGAACATTTCAGTTCTTCTTCAACATCCATCATTTCTTTAACTTTCGATTGATAATTTGAAGATATTTTTTCATAGTTTAATTCAACTTCGTCTAGTTTTTTATTTGTTTCTAGAAGCTCTTTTTCCAATTGATTTTTTACTTTAATTGATATTGACTTTTCAAGACAGAGGTTAGTAATTTCCACTTCTTTCTCAGACAGTTTGGCCTTAACTTGATGCAGTTGTTCTAATAGATTATTTCTTTCTTCAACTAACTTATTTATCTCTTGATTACAATCTTCAAGTTTTGTATTGATATTATCAAATCTTTCAACAGCTGAATTTTTCTCAGAAGATACCTTTTCATAATCGTGTTTTAATGTATCTAAATACTGTGTTAAATCAATATTTTCTTTTGCTAAACGGTCATTCTCTTCAAGAATATATTCTTTTTCGTTCTGAATCTTTTCAATTTCTTTATTACTTAATGTAAGGGCATCTAAAATTTCATTATTTTGCTGAATTACTTTTTCCAATTTATTGTTATTTAAATCCAGAGTTTCAGATAAAACATTTTTTTCTGTAATCAGAGATTCATTTTTAGATTTTAAATCATTATTTTCCTTCAAATATCTTTCATTTTCCAATTGAGATTCACTTAGTTTCAGGTTGATCTCCTGAAGGTTCTCTAATAGGTTTTCTTTTTCAGATATAAGATCTTGTATTTTTGATTGTATTTGAACAATATCTGCCAAATATCTTTTATTTTCACATTGACACTCGGTTAATTCACTAGAAATTTTTTCTTTGTCATTTGTAACAGATTCTAAATTAGTAGACATTTCGGTTAACTGTGCAGAAAGTTCTTTTTCATTTGTTTTAAATATTTCCAATTGTTCTTGAGCATCTTTAATAGTTAAAGTTAAATGTTCATTCTCTGCTGATATGTTTTTAATTTTTAAGTTGGATTCATCTAAATTTCTGGAACAAAGTTCATACTTTTCAGATATATTTACTTTTTCTTTTGTACAGTTTTGCAAGTCGTTTTCCATCAAAGACATTTTTTTGGAAATATTTTTAAAGTTATTTTCAATCGTGTTAATTTCTTCACACAATTCTTTATTTTTGGAACAATTAAATTCAAAGTCATAGGTAATTTTATTAAGTTGGTCCTTCAAGTCTTTATTTTTGGATTGGCTAGATTCTAATTTAAGGACAAGTTCATTTATATCTTCCTTCAGATCTTTAGACAAATTATTGGATGAATCTAATAGTTGCTCAAGATTTTCTTTTTCTGTGTAAACATCTTTCAAGGCAGAATCTAAATAGCTAAGATTATTTTGTAATTCTTTGAAAATGAGTTCTGCATTTCTTCCATCAGTTGCCATGTCTTCAGAACAAGTTAGTTCGTTTTTCTCAGCTATAGTAAAGATGTTAATTTGTTGTATAATTTGTTTTGTTATATTATTGACACTTTCTAAACTCGTTCTGAGTTTTTCATTTTCTAATAGTTTGCATTTTAAATCGCCAGTAGTATTCTCTAAATTAACTTTGAAATACTTTAGCTCTTCTTCAACATCCACCATTTCTTTAACTTTTGATTGATAATTTGAAGATATTTTTTCATAATTGAATTCAATTTCTTCTAGTTTTTTATTTGATTCTTGAAGCTCTTTTTCCAGCTGATTTTTTTCTTCAATTGATAATGACTTTTCAAGACAAAGATTGTTAATTTCCATTTCTTTCTCAGTAAGTTTTGCCTTAACTTGATGCAGTTGTTCCAATAGACTATTTTTTTCTTCAACTAATTTATTTATTTCTAGTTCTTTCTCGGAAAGTTTAGCCTTAACTTGATGCAGTTGTTCTAATAGATTATTCCTTTCTTCGACTAATTTATTTATTTTTTGATTACAATCTTCAAGTTTTTTATTGCTATTATCAAACTTTTCAGTAGATAAATTCTTCTCAGAAAACACCTTGTCATAATCGTGTTTTAATGTATCTAAATACTGTGTTAAATCAATATTTGCTTTTGTTAAGCGGTTGTTCTCTTCAAGGCTGAATTCTTTTTCTTTCTGAATCTTTTCAATTTCTTTATTACTTAACGCAAGGACGTTTAAAATTTCATCCTTTTGCTGTATTACATTTTGCAATTCCTTTTTATTTAAACCCAGATTATTTGATAAAATAGTTTTTTCTTCGGAAACCTTCTGAATAGTGTCTGACAAGTAGTCTTTTTCTGTAACCAAAGCTTCATATTTTAATTTAAAATCTTCATTTTCCTTCAAACACCTTTCATTTTCCATTTGGGATTCATTAAGTTTTAGGTTGATCTCTTGAAGGTTCTTTGACAGGTATTCTTTTTCAGATATAAAGTCTTCTATTCTTGATTGCATTTGAACATTATCTGCCAAACATCTTTCATTTTCCATATGGGATTCACTCAGTTTTAGGTTGATCTCTTCAAGGTTCTTTGATAGGTATTCTTTGTCAGATATAAGGTCTTCTATTCTTGATTGCTTTTGATCATTATCTGCCAAACATCTTTCATTTTCCATTTGGGATTCACTTAGTTTTAGGTTGATGTCTTCAAGGTGCTTTGATAGATATTCTTTTTCAGATATAAGGTCTACTACTCTAGATTGCATTTGAGCATTATCTGCCAAATATCTTTCATTTTCCATTTGCGATTCACTAAGCTTTAGGTTGATCTCTTGTAGGTTCTTTGATAGGTATTCTTTTTCAGATATTAAGTCTTCTATTCTTGATTGCATTTGAACATTATCTGCCAAACATCTTTCATTTTCCATTTGGGATTCACTTAGTTTTAGGTTGATCTCTTCAAGGTTCTTTGATAGGTATTCTTTTTCAGATATAAGGTCTTCTATTCTTGATTGCTTTTGATCATTATCTGCCAAACATCTTTCATTTTCCATTTGGGATTCATTTAGTTTTAGGTTGATCTCTTGAAGGTTCTTTGATAGGTATTCTTTTTCAGATATAAGGTCTTCTATTCTTGATTGCATTTGAACGTTATCTGCCAAACATCTTTCATTTTCTATTTGGGATTCACTCAGTTTTAGGTTGATCTCTTCAAGGTTCTTTGATAGGTATTCTTTTTCAGATATAAGGTCTTCTATTCTTGATTGCTTTTGATCATTATCTGCCAAACATCTTTCATTTTCCATTTGGGATTCATTTAGTTTTAGGTTGATCTCTTGAAGGTTCTTTGATAGGTATTCTTTTTCAGATATAAGGTCTACTACTCTAGATTGCATTTGAGCATTATCTGCCAAACATCTTTCATTTTCCATTTGGGATTCACTTAGCTTTAGGTTGATCTCTTCAAGGTTCTTTGATAGATATTCTTTTTCAGATATAAGGTCTTCTATTCTTGATTGCTGTTGATCATTATCTGCCAAACATCTTTCATTTTCCATTTGGGATTCACTCAGTTTTAGGTTGATCTCTTCAAGGTTCTTTGACAGGTAATCTTTTTCAGATATAAAGTCTTCTATTCTTGATTGCATTTGAACATTATCTGCCAAACATCTTTCATTTTCCATTTGGGATTCACTCAGTTTTAGGTTGATCTCTTCAAGGTTCTTTGATAGGTATTCTTTTTTAGATATAAGGTCTTCTATTCTTAATTGCTTTTGATCATTATCTGTCAAACATCTTTCATTTTCCATTTGCGATTCACTTAGTTTTAGGTTGATGTCTTCAAGGTTCTTTGATAGATATTCTTTTTCAGATATAAGGTCTTCTATTCTTGATTGCATTTGAACATTATCTGCCAAACTTCTTTCATTTTCCATTTGGGATTCACTTAGTTTTAGGTTGATGTCTTCAAGGTTCTTTAACAGGTATTCTTTTTCAGATATAAGGTCTTCTATTCTTGATTGCTTTTGATCATTATCTGCCAAACATCTTTTATTTTCCATTTGGGATTCACTCAGTTTTAGGTTGATGTCTTCAAGGTTCTTTGATAGATATTCTTTTTCAGATATAAGGTCCTCTATTCTTGATTGCAATTGAACATTATCTGCCAAACTTTTTTCATTTTCACACTGACACTCATTTAATTCACCAACAATTTTTTCTTTGTCATTTGTAACTAATTCCAATTTATTAGACATTTCTGTTAACTGTGTAGAAAGTTCATCAGCAATTTTTTCTTTGTCGTTTGTAACAGATTTTAATGTATTGGAAATTTCTGTTAACTGTGCCGAAAGTTCTTTCTCCTTTGTTTTAAATAAGTCCAATTGATCTTGAAGATTTGAAATAGTTTGACTTAAATGTTCATTCTCTTCAGTTAAGGTACACATAGATGATGTTATTTTTTCATTTTTCAATTTGAATTCATCCAAATTTTTGGAACAAAGCTTATAGTGTTCAGAAATATTAGCTTTTTCTAGTGTACAGTTTTGCAAGTCTGTTTCCATCGAAGACATTTTTTTTGACATTTTTTTAAAACCATTTTCCATTGTATTAATTTTATGACACAATTTATTATTTTTGTCACAGTTAAATTCAAGGTCAAGTGTAAGTTTATTAATTTGTTCTTTTAAGTCTTTGGAAAGATCATTAGCACTATCTAGCATATTTTTCAGAGCATCTTTTTCGGAGTTTAAGATTTCCTTTTCTTGAGTAACATTTTGAAGATTTTTAAACAGAGTGTCCTTTTCAGCAATGAGGGTCTCATTAATCAATTTTAAATCAGTTATTGCTTTGAAATTTATTTCATTTTCTAATTGATATTCACCTAATTTACAAGATACTCTTTCTTTCTCGTCTCTAACAGTATCTAACTCTCTAGACACCTCTGCTAATTTGCCAGTAAGATATTTCTCATTTGTAATTAATTTATCCATTTGATCTTGAGCATCATTCATATTTTGTGTCAGATTTTCATTCTTTCTGGTTACTTCTGTCAAAGAAGTATATATTTCTTTATTTTTCAAAATAAATTCTTCTATTTTTTCATTTGATACTTGAAGCTCACTTTCCAGTTGATGTTTTTCTTCAATTAAAATTGCTTTCTCCATAGTTAAAATATTAATTTCTTTTTTAAGGCCTTTAATAACAGCATTAATTTCATCTAAATTGTTTTTTAAGTTTTCATTTTCCTTTTGTAATTCTTTAAGTTGAATATCAACTACTGAATGTGCCAAATCCTCACCAGGTTGTTCTTCCAAACTTCTTGACCAGCGATTGGTATTAAGAAAACTCTCCTCAATAAAACTTTCACTTTTTGAATTTGGTCTCAGTTCTTCTAAAAGGGCTTCTAATTCTACACAGTGAAACTTTAAGTTTTCATTCTTAGTTAGCTGTTCTTTGTAATTTTCAGTTACGGATTGTAAGCATTTCTCAGTTTCAATGAATTTTTCCAACCAAGTTTTACACTGAGATTCTAATTGTCTTACCTAAAATGTTTCAAAATATAAAATAAAATTAAAAAATAGTACAGCAATATGAGACCAATTTTAGGTAATAAAAACAAAAGTTATACCACTTAGAAAATCGATGTTATAGCACTTCAAATTATTCAAGTCAATGAAACGGATGTTAAGAGTGCTAAAAAATCGATTTATTATATGGCAGATGGTAAAATTAAAGCATTTCATTTTAGAATCGAGATCTATTTAATGCCAGTTAAAATTACATGTGTGACAGGATTTTAATGTTGAATTTAATTCATGATATCAATTTAAACAAAAAGCTACACAGTAGAGTACTAACTTGAGCTTTTTCTTTATCTCTTTCTTCCTGTAGTTGTTCATTTTCTTTCTCACATTGTTCAAGTATTTGCTCTAAGCTTTCTACTTGAGTTCTAAGTAGCTTTTGCATATCTCTGAAATCTCTATCTCTGTAGTGGGGAGGTGTTCTACCTTCTAATTCTAGAACCTCTCCTCTGAGGTTAGAAATTTCAATAGTTTTCTGATTAAGTTGCTTCTCTAAAATTTGTAAAAAGAATATTGATTAAATAACTATAGATTATGAAAAACAAATTACTTCAAATATAATTTGTTTTTTTTTTTTTTTTAAATTACCCCTACAAATAATTAATTTTTTTTGTACATTTGAAGTGAAAGCAAATGAACTGAAAAAATAATGTTCTGGGATGGATTCAAACACTGTTAAAATTCACCAGAACAGAGACAGGCCAAAGAGTTCTTAAAGGGACCACCACATAAACTCACGGAGCATCTACTAAGCCATAACAGGAAAAATACTAGAGCACTAGTAAGCCTATTGGCAGGGCATTGTAGCCTTAACAAACTTATGTATAATATCGATCTGACAGAAGAGACCTTATGCCGATTCTATCAGGAAGAGGGAGAAACTGCAGTACACGTATTGTGTACTAGGAAGGTCTATCAAGACTGAGATTCCTTACACTTGGAAAAGAAAAACCAAGGGCAACTAGCTACGCCTGAGAACTACTTTCTAGTCTATGGAGTGAACTACAAAAGACTGAGCTAGACAAGGTACTCTAAACAACGATTAAAGGACATCCACAATAGATCTGAAAAGGTTAAGGTGGGAGAGGCCACATGACTCACACTCCTGATTAAATCTACACTCTAATATCTAATTAATGTCCTGATATTCGAGTTGGAAAGGCAGAGTGGCGAAAAACATGAATGTGGAGGGTTCAAATCCTACCTGGGTGATTTTTCAGTTAATTTTTTTTTACTTTGGGGGTTCAAAAATAATATATCATAGAGAAAATTTTGAAATTTAAAAAATAGTGTTAAAATCATAACCATTTTCAATAGATTAATATGAATAATATATTTTAAAGGTAATTAAACCTGGTATTTTCACTTATAGATAAAGTAATTTATACTGAAGAATAAGTGGTATCTGCTAAATAAAAAAAAAACAGTAAGCCTTTGCTTAAATAACATGTTAGTACATTGAGCTGCTAAATCTGCAAGTTCTGTGCAGAACAAAATATTTTTTATTTGAGTTCAAGTACTTGGCTTATATTGACTGAGAATTATTATTTATTTTCTATGGATTTATCATTTTTACACGTTTTACATAATATTTATTTATTTGTATCCAAACAGGCCAACAGCCTTATTACATGGATAAAAGTATCATAATACATTAATATTAATAATAAACAGTAGGTAATTACAACTAATATTACAACTTATTTAGTATTAAAATTAATTAAGAGTAATGTAATAATTAAATACAAGTTTTTGGAACATATTAAATGGTAGTGTCCAGTCTACATCAATACAAGTGTTAATATTATTTGCCAATCGGAGCATGGTCACAAGAGGTGACCTGGCAGTGGTAACAACTAAAGGAATATTAAACATACATGGATGTCTCATTCTCCTCAGAGGTACATTAAATCGTATTAAGTATAGTAGCTCAGGTGAGTTAATTTTATAGTTAATAATTTTATATAAAAAAGTCAACATTATGATATTCCTTCTGGTGTGAAGGGAAGGTATATTAAATTATTTTCTTAGGTTTGCAGTTCTAACAATATTGTAGTCTGGGTATATATGGAGTTTTTTGAAATAAAGATATCTAAGAAATTTATTTTGTATTTTTTCAATCTCATATAGATTAGTTGGATGTTTCCCCATCCATACCTCAGCTCCAAATTCAAGTTTTTATCTAACTAGAGCATAATAAAGAATTTTTATAGATTCTATGTTAGTAAAACTTCTAGTTTGCCTAATTATGAACCCCAGCATTCTATTTGCAGCCTTAACTATATTTTTTACATGATTAGAAAAAAATAGAACAAAATCCTAGGTTATACCTAAGTGCTTTTACCTCTGAACGTCATTCTATTAATTCTCCATTTATAAGGTAATCGAAAATAACAGGATTTTTCAATCTACTTATTGTCATTTAATTTAATTTATTTTTATAACACCACCATTTATTTATGTTGTCTAAATCTTTTATGTATATAAATGTATAACTTAAGATTATCCATAAATAAATTTAATACATGTCATTCATTTAATTTAATTTTTTTAAGTGATGCCTTGAATGATGAGGCAGATGTTCCAAATAGATCAATCATGTTCTTATATTTGTTAGCTGTTCGTGTCATTTTAGTGATCGATAATTTTGATCATAAGGTATTGTAAAATGAAATGCTAAATGGATCATAATTCCTAGTTCTTCAGTAGTTTACATTGAAGTTAATTAAATTTAGTATTTCTGAGTCTTGAAAGTTATCTTACAGCATTGTTTTACATATAAGTGTAACATATTTATCTAGCAAGATTATTAATATTGTTTTGTAAAAGTAAAGCATCTTAATAATTCTGAATATTTTAAGATCCTCAGCTAATATCAGACACTGACTATTTTGAATTACTTTAATTAAATCATTAATAAACAAATTAAAGACTAGTGGGCCTATGTGAGATCTTTGAGGAACACGAGGTTAATAATACATTAGATATACTTAGAGGGTGTTGGTCAGTTCTTTTAGAAAACACGTTAATGTTCCTTGAATGTCTTTGTCAGATAAAGGCATTTTAGTACACAATCTTTTAACGGCAGTTTAAGTACAGCCTTAATAATAATAAATATATTTTATTTCAAGAAAATTACAATATATAAATATACTTGTACATAGTGTAAAATTAGTGGAACAACTGTCACCCAAAAAAATATTTTATTACAGCTATCTAACATTTACATTTGTTATTCTATATAGTCACTAACAGAGTAAGCTCGGTTGTTACTAAAATTTAAAAAATCCTTTTTTTTTAACACTGGTAAACTATCTATTAACTTCACTTCAAAAGGCAATTTATTATAAAATCTTAATCTTTATTCTAGGGTTCAAATATTTTAAATTAATTTCTATTATTAAAGAAGTATAACAAGCACTCCTATATAAATATTCCATAAAAGGTGAGTAAATTAAATCTCTTAAACTGCCCTATACAAAATTCATTGAATTTTATGTCTGCTATGATTCTTAATGCTCCTTTTTCAGTCACAAACACTTGATTTGAATCGTTGCTGTCCCCATAAAATATAATACCATATCTAATATGTAACTCAATGGTAGAGTATACTATTTTCATTGTTTCTCTTTTAAAGTAATTTGATAATACTCTTAATTTATAACATTTAGAGTACAGCTTTGTTGTTACTGAAATGACATGGATGTCCCAACATAAGACATTGCTTTCTTTTTACCTCTAATTTGAGCTAACTTATATTGACTAAGCTTAGTTGTATGTTCTTTTTGTGATTCTAAATCAAAATCTTTCTTTAACCCCTTACCTATGCTAAGGTACAAGGATCTTGATGTCAACCATAAACCATAACAGGAAGTGAGTGCATCATAGGAACAAACATATCCTATGAATTTATTATTTTAGAGAAAGTAAAAGATTATGATAACAGGGGGCAAGTTCATGGTGTTGAATGTTAAAAGAAATTGTAAAATTTAATAAAAATGTTAAATGTTTTCAAAGGGTGACATGGGACATGCCATCTGTCAACTAAAATTCCCATTAGTTTTCGAACTTATCAGAATCTAACTTTTAGTTAGTCAAGTATACCTGTAAAAAGAAAATGACTATCAAGCTGCATTCCCAGAAACTTCACATTTTTGTTTATTATCAAGATGCCCTGTTGTAGATTAATATTATCAGGTAAGTGATGACCCATGTAATTTGTTGTTATAAACATTAAATTAATCTTATCCTCATTTAGTATAAAATTGTTCATTTTAAACCATTAGCTTGAATTTATTAATACCTTATTAACAGTTTCAATCATTTCAGGAAAGCTGTTGGTTTTCATTAAAAAATTTGTGTCATCTGCATAACTCATGGTCCTGCAAATGCTATGAGTAATGCCATGATTCAGGTAATTTGTATAAATGATGAATAGGACCACAAACAACTAAATGACGATACCAGGAAGCTGGAGAGAAGAGGACGGGGTTTTAGTGAGTAGGACCAAACTATCACCCTTGATAATAAATGACTGGATGAGGATATTGAATCTACCTGATCCTCACGGTGATTGAATGTCTATATTTCTATGTATTGTGATCATTGCAACTTGGAAAAAAAATCAAAAGAAATCATGTTCAGACAAAATCACTTCGAATTAGTTTGTCACTCAAAATTATAAATCGATCAGTGGCAAAGGAAGTCTGATAAAAAGGTCATTGTATAAAATTAAGGATGATTTTTTGAGAAATTATAATATACAATCAATTTTAGGTGATTTCTGAAATACGGGTATGTTTTGATGTAAGTGGTTTACCCCTTGACACTATTAAAATGACTACATTAGTATAACATTTAATAAAGAGTTAAATAATGTTTGCTTCTTACCAAGTTTTTTGTTTTTAGTAATTTGATTCTTAAGTTCTTCTTCAATAGTTTCTTTCTCTTCTTGTACTAACTCTAGATTTGACTTAAGTTTGGCTATTTCTTTATCTCTTTCAATCATCCTGGTACTTTTTAGAACAGGGGTTTTCAAGACATCTTGTAAAGGACTTCGTGAATTGTTAAAATTGTTTGATGATAACCAATTTTGTATCTGGGACTGTTCTCCTATACAATTCTCAATAACTGTTACAAGTTCATTGTAAGATAGATTTGTACATTCTTGCACTCTTTCTAAGAAATTTCTTATCTTTATTTGAGTAAATTCTTGTAGATTGTAACATAAGGGAGAGGTTAATACATCTCTACGATCATGAATACATGTATAATGCATCAATATTGATGTAATGGCAGCTAAATCAGTTAGAGGAAGATCATTGAGATGAATGGACACATTATTTGGTATAACAAATTGAGAATAATGCTCTTTTAATATTTCAAAAATGCAGCTTAAAACGTCTGGATCTACTTCTGAAGATTTCTTCCTAAAAAAACATAATAAAATGAAACTTATGATAATAGAAACAAACTACAAGATGAAATTATTAAATACACACAATTAATTGTTGGCCCACGTATGTATACCTGTTTTTTAAACAAAAACGGCGTTCATATGAGATATGAATAAAGCGAGATTGCTAGAATATTTTAAAATTATTTAATGAAACTTACAAAACTTTTTGAAGATTGCTAAAAAATAGTCCATCTCTGAGATCGTCCAGTTTTTGTATAGGTTTGGCGAGTTTTAGACAATTTACCTATAAAATAGGATAATAATGAAAAAACAAAACATCAACTTCTAATGAAAATAGGTAATTATGAAATTTGGTTAAATACATAAAAACTTTTCTTACCCAGTCTACTAGTATCTTTTCCCACGAAGGATTATCCATATTTTCTTTGCCAAAAACCGATAAAATAGTTATATAAATAGCAGCCAGAGAAAATAGACCAAAAGCTTCACTTTTTTTGAAGGCAAGTGACGGTTTGAATTTGAATGTTGATGAATTCAATAAACTTCAAACAAACCGAAAATTCAAATTTTTTGTGACGTTGACACATGTTCTTCTTTTTCTATTGATTGGTCTGTACTCTGTATCACTGTATCCAAGAACTAAAATAAAATACCGTTATGTAAATATGGTTGGGCTAAGAATAAATTACGTTATTTATAATACAAGAGCTAAAAACTGTTATTTTAAAGATGTGCTAGAGAAGAACAATGAGTAATTAAAAACTATTTTATGTGTTATTTATTTTCTTAACATTTAACTATTTAATTCAAGGCCCATTTATCCGTTATGGTTTTTGACTTCTGACACTGACAGTTTTGACATTGACACTTTTGATATCGCCGTTTTAAATGTTTTGCAACTTTTTAAATTTTAAAGAATTTAATTTTTTTTTATGCCACACTTTTAACTTTTATATTATATTTATCATTATTTTCTATGTATGATTTGTTTTAAAAGTTTTAAACCATGTCTGGAGAAATAGCAAAATTTCTTAAAGAACAGAAACTACTAATTATTCAAGAAAAGAAACGATTAGGATTCTCTCAAAGTGAAGATATTTCCAAAATAAATGTTGGAAACTTAAAACATGAGGTATGTATGAACACACATAATCTTTGGAGTTTTTTCCATAATCCTTGTAGTAGTAAATATGTCAATAGCTATATAACATGAATTAAAATCACTTAAGAACACACACAAGTACCTACTTTTAAAGGATTATCAGCAATTTTATTGTCTCTTTTGTCACACCCCAACACCGCCTTGTGACTAAGTGGTAGAACCTTTAAAAAGATATTGATTGATGAAGTTTATTAATGTACTTAAATAACATTTTGCTGTGCTAGATGTGTGTTATATTTCACAAGGTATTTTATACAGAAATATCATAGAATTTTTGATAAGTAACATATAGAGGTGGCTAATAATGATAATAACTTGTGTTGTAATGTTTTTTTTATTTATATATATTTTTTTTAATATTTTTGAATTCGATTATTTTATTGTGTTGTATTAAAATTTTTAATTCCTATTTAAATAGTACCTGTCATTTAATTATAGAACAATTTTAGCAATTGTATACTGTATTTACGTCTTTTTTATGCTTTCTAATTTATATTTTATATGTATATTAGCGGTTTCTAATTAATAAATAAATAAATCTATATATTACACACGATATACCATTTTTAGACTTTTAAAGTAGGCTATTTGCAATTAAATTCAGAATTCATTTATTTTCAGTTTGTATATCTATGTGGTTCTTAAAATAATGTGAGCGTAGAAAAAAATCTTGTGCATTTTGTACCAAAATTTATCAAAAACATGTTTAATACAAAGTCGATTTAATTTTGTTTTAAGAAATTTTATTTTATATCAACCATTGTTCTCGAATTTCAATATACGTCCAATATACCACCGTGCATCATATTTTTCACTTACTGTTTTCACACACTGTTCCACATTTTGCTGGTTCTAAATAATATAAAATATTAAGCAGGAAGATGGCAGAAACAAGTCTTTTCTGCCTCACAAAGTTAATTTAATAGTGACCGGTTTCGAAGTTTTACTTCATCATCAGGCACACTATAATGTAGCTAGTCTCTGTATATAATTTTTTTTTGAAAGTGGAACAATACTTATCTTTCTCAAAAAAAATAATAATGAAGCATTAAATATGACACCCTATAGACATATAATTTTCGATATCTTAAATATATCAAATAATGGATGTACACTGGATATGTTAAACATCTATAGGATATATCCATTGGTTACTTATGAACCTCTGCTAAAGGTACCTATTAGATATTTTGCTGGATATCCATAGAATATGTTCTATATCCTGGATATAGACGGACATTTGGATATTCATATTAGATCCAGTGGATATCTATGATATCCTGTGGATATATTGGATATCCACAAAAGATATTCTGTGGATATCTCTGGGATTTCGTGTATCGTCTGGGAGATACCCATTAGATATTTTGCTGGATATCCATATGATATCTTCTATATTCTGGACATAGACGGACATTTGGATATTCATATTAGATCCACGGCATATTTGGATATATTGGATATCCACAAAAGATATTCTGTGGATATCTCTGGGATGGTGTGTTTTCTGGGGTTATTCATAAGAAAAACCGAAAAAATTGTAAAAAAGATGAAAACAAACAATTTTTATTTTGCTTAACTTTTCATACAGGCCCGGATTTTGATTTTTTTTAATACTGTAAGGGGTTTTCTCGCCACAGAGAAAATGGTTCCTTACGAATGGCGCTGGTTACGGGCGGTTCTCGAGCGCCAGATTTTTGGTTATGGTTTACTCCACAAACTCTCGAAACGGCGTCGAAAGTACTCGGGTAGCTACAGATGGAGATGAAAAATTCCAGGGGTCAAAGGTCACTTAGACACAGGTAATAGTAGGCCAGAAGTAACAGGCTTTAATCGTTGCTTGGGCTGGTACAGAATTTATCACTAGCTGAAATACAAGGGGGAAATAAAGTATGGAATTAGTAACCAGTAATACGGCAAGTTAACATTGACACATATTTTGAATAACTATTTACACATTAAAATTAATAAAAATTATATATTTCAAAGCCTACCCTAGTTGCGATGATAGTCAATATAGCCCTGAACAAAAAAAAATAAACAAACAAAACGGACGGTATTGAATCCCGATTAGTCTCAATCAGACGTCAAAATTGAATTAAAATAAAATGTGAGTGTTTCGGTCGCAGAAAAAATTATTAACTTGACTATTTAGTCGATAATTAAACTAAAACATAATTTTCCATTTCGGTAAGGAAAACTTCTAAGAGCGGTCGTAGCAAAAATTAACTATCTAACGGTCGTATCGGGAATTAAACTAAAAAATGTAGGTACTCTACTATTTCGGTAAGGAAGAATTATCAAAACGGTCGCAGAGAGTGCGAGGAGACAGGATCGCGAAAGAACCACTTATAGTAAATATACGGGAAGGGAAAAAAAATAAATTTATACCCGGGGTAGCCTATTATCCCAGAATGAGCTGATCGTCATCACGAGCCCGCTCAGACAGGGTAATGAAGCTATTTAAGATTTCTGTAATTTGCAATTTGCACGAAAAAATAAAGAATACAAAGGGAAAAAGAAAACTAACGCGGATAGCACCTAATCCAAGAATGAGCTGATCGTCATCACGAGCCCGTTCAGACAGGGACAGGACACTATTTAAGATTATTTAAATTTGCGGTAAAATAATAAACAAACTATTAAAAGAGGGAAAACGTCTCCTCGAAAACTCCGTTTCTAAATATTCCCAAGTTATTTATAACGCGGCACTTACTAAACAAAAGTATTTATCAATGAAATCAAATTTAATTCCCGATTTAACCTACCAAAAAGAAAAGTTTAATTTCTTAGGTCGACTATCAAATATCTAAATCAACGGTATTACAATTTGAAAGAACTAAATACTATCATTTATTATTTAAATCAAATTCAATTCCCTTTAAAGAAACGGTATTCTATCTTTAAAGAGCTAACTTCTAATATTTATTAATTAAATCAAATTAAATATTTCTCCCAACAATATTTTTGATAACTATATTATATTTAATGTTTAGACTGGGAAAGAAGTACACACTCAGTGGTTAAATGATTGGGTTGAATTGAGGAATTGAGTACTCAAGTGTGTGTATATATACACACTTGAGTATTCAATTCCTCAATTCAACCCAATCATTTATATTATATTTTCCAAGAAATAAATTCTAATATTTATTAATGAAATCAACGGCAGTACCACCTCGCATCGGTGTGACGATCGGCAGTGCGCAGCTGTTTTGGCCCAGGACCAACATTTCAAGCGCGTTTAATATTTATTAAAAATAAACCGATTGAGTAAAAATTGACTTCATTACAGTACTGTAGCTTCCTTATGCGTTTTTTGAAAAAAATGTATTTGAAATGTAGTTTTTTCTGTGACGGGAAAAAAGTTTGACATTTTATCTCTCTTGTCAGGTAACAAAATGTCACTTTTTATGAAATTAGTTTTTTCTCCGTTTCCAGGGAAAAGTGTTTCCCCGGGAAAAAAGTGAGTACACATAAGTAAAGGTAGATATTTTAGAATTTTTTTTTCTATATTAAATCATCGTTTTTCCCGTCACAGAAAAAAATAGTGTATTGTAACGATAGTTTAATTTATTTAGAGTTTATTTATTTAAAACACACTATTTACAATTTATTTATGACGTACTAATTAATTTATATAATACTTAGGCACCAACTCACTCTAATTTATTACAATTAACTTTTCTGTCCAACACTTTATTCTTAAACTAACTGTCTACTGATAAGTCAGGCTATTTATACCAAGTCCAACTCTGCTACGAGAAGTTTCTAGGCGCTCCCGAAAATTCCATCTCTGACTCAACTTCACGCACCGCCCGTTCCAGCAGTTTCTCGAAACGTCAGCGGCATACCTAGAAGATTCCGTCGTTTCGAGCATGAGTCGGGTGGCACAGACTTGAAGGTCGCTTGCTTAGACAGAGACGGCCAGGAATTCCCATGACAGGGGAAAAATATTAGATTTTAGCTCTCGGTTTTTTGTCTTCCTACACTTCGCATCGGGAGACCACACAACCTCGAGCTAAAATCTAATACTTTTTCCCTTGTATAATAAATAACTATTATTTTCTTGACTTCTAAAAACGGTAAAAAAGTATCAACTTAAAATTTACTTTGTACAGGGCTGCTGAATTTGTGTTACTAAGACATAAATTTATCCTAGCAGGCTTTGCTTTTACATTTAATAATACCATCAATGTTTAACAAATTAAAAAGTGTACAGATTGTTTAGTGTTATTATGTGTTTAAAGATAAAGTATAACGTTTCGTTTGCACTGTTATATTTGCGATGTACATTTCCACTTAAACCTTTTAACTGGATTAAATGTAACACCCTGTATAATAATAAATACATAGCAAATGAGAGTAAGATCGTTTAAAATTGTCAAATACTTTCCGAGTTATTAGAGAGTTATTGCAAGTTCACTTAAGGTCAGTCACTATTAGTGCCGCTCTTATTTTGACATCTAAGCATGCGCAGATCGTTTATGTTCTAAAACTAACTTTATTAAAGATTGTGCCTGTCTTTAATTGTGGATGTTTAAGGGCAGCAGGTATAGCAGAAGTAGAAGTTGGAAAGGCTTCTGCCAGTTCTCCCACTTTATACACATAAATTGACAGGTTTGCGGTGGATCTCACCGAAGTAGACGCGATACATTGGCGTACAAAATTATTCTATAGATGTTAATAACAATTTCGAGTAAATAGTTTAATAAATTGTGAATAGCTGTTGAAATTTTGTAAAATTATGATTTAAATATTATAATACATGTTTAATAATTATTTGCATAAATACATGCGATTGTCCGGTTCCGCCGGTAACAATTTAAAATTACTTATTCTATGAAACGACACTGGCAGGTAAACATTACTGCGAAATTCTCGAAGCCGTCCGACGTGGCTTGACGTTTACCCCCTCTCTACCTACCAAAAGCCTTTCCAACTTTTACTTGCACTATAGTGGCGACTTT